AAAGTATTTTATTTTCTACTTTTTAGTTTTATTCTAATGAAATAGAGAAATAAAGATTATAGAGGGTTTATAGGTTACAGGTGTGTTGAACTTCACTTCGTTGCACTTCGTTACGTTCAACTGTTTATAGATTACAGTAGGTTTATAGGTTACAGGTGTGTTGAACTCCACTTCGTTGCACTTCGTTTCGTTCAACTGTTTATAGATTACAGTAGGTTTATAGGTTACAGGTGTGTTGAACTCCACTTCGTTGCACTTCGTTACGTTCAACTGTTTATAGATTACAGTAGGTTCATAGGTTACAGGTGTGTTGAACTCCACTTCGTTTCACTTCGTTACGTTCAACTGTTTATAGATTACAGTAGGTTCATAGGTTACAGGTGTGTTGAACTCCACTTCGTTGCACTTCGTTACGTTCAACTGTTTATAGATTACAGTAGGTTTATAGGTTACAGGTGTGTTGAACTCCACTTCGTTGCACTTCGTTACGTTCAACTGTTTATAGATTACAGTAGGTTCATAGGTTACAGGTGTGTTGAACTCCACTTCGTTTCACTTCGTTACGTTCAACTGTTTATAGATTACAGTAGGTTCATAGGTTACAGGTGTGTTGAACTCCACTTCGTTTCACTTCGTTACGTTCAACTGTTTATAGATTACAGTAGGTTTATAGGTTACAGGTGTGTTGAACTCCACTTCGTTGCACTTCGTTACGTTCAACTGTTTATAGATTACAGTAGGTTCATAGGTTACAGGTGTGTTGAACTCCACTTCGTTGCACTTCGTTACGTTCAACTGTTTATAGATTACAGTAGGTTCATAGGTTACAGGTGTGTTGAACTCCACTTCGTTGCACTTCGTTACGTTCAACTGTTTATAGATTACAGTAGGTTCATAGGTTACAGGTGTGTTGAACTCCACTTCGTTGCACTTCGTTACGTTCAACTGTTTATAGATTACAGTAGGTTCATAGGTTACAGGTGTGTTAAACTCCACTTCGTTGCACTTCGTTTCGTTTAACTGTTTATAGATTACAGTAGGTTCATAGGTTACAGGTGTGTTGAACTCCACTTCGTTTCACTTCGTTACGTTCAACTGTTTATAGATTACAGTAGGTTCATAGGTTACAGGTGTGTTGAACTCCACTTCGTTTCACTTCGTTACGTTCAACTGTTTATAGATTACAGTAGGTTTATAGGTTACAGGTGTGTTGAACTCCACTTCGTTGCACTTCGTTTCGTTCAACTGTTTATAGATTACAGTAGGTTTATAGGTTACAGGTGTGTTGAACTCCACTTCGTTGCACTTCGTTACGTTCAACTGTTTATAGATTACAGTAGGTTCATAGGTTACAGGTGTGTTGAACTCCACTTCGTTGCACTTCGTTTCGTTCAACTGTTTATAGATTACAGTAGGTTTATAGGTTACAGGTGTGTTGAACTCCACTTCGTTGCACTTCGTTTCGTTCAACTGTTTATAGATTACAGTAGGTTTATAGGTTACAGGTGTGTTGAACTCCACTTCGTTGCACTTCGTTACGTTCAACTGTTTATAGATTACAGTAGGTTTATAGGTTACAGGTGTGTTGAACTCCACTTCGTTGCACTTCGTTTCGTTCAACTGTTTATAGATTACAGTAGGTTTATAGGTTACAGGTGTGTTGAACTCCACTTCGTTGCACTTCGTTACGTTCAACTGTTTATAGATTACAGTAGGTTCATAGGTTACAGGTGTGTTGAACTCCACTTCGTTTCACTTCGTTACGTTCAACTGTTTATAGATTACAGTAGGTTCATAGGTTACAGGTGTGTTGAACTCCACTTCGTTTCACTTCGTTACGTTCAACTGTTTATAGATTACAGTAGGTTCATAGGTTACAGGTGTGTTGAACTCCACTTCGTTGCACTTCGTTACGTTCAACTGTTTATAGATTACAGTAGGTTTATAGGTTACAGGTGTGTTGAACTCCACTTCGTTGCACTTCGTTACGTTCAACTGTTTATAGATTACAGTAGGTTCATAGGTTACAGGTGTGTTGAACTCCACTTCGTTTCACTTCGTTACGTTCAACTGTTTATAGATTACAGTAGGTTCATAGGTTACAGGTGTGTTGAACTCCACTTCGTTGCACTTCGTTACGTTCAACTGTTTATAGATTACAGTAGGTTCATAGGTTACAGGTGTGTTGAACTCCACTTCGTTGCACTTCGTTACGTTCAACTGTTTATAGATTACAGTAGGTTCATAGGTTACAGGTGTGTTAAACTCCACTTCGTTGCACTTCGTTTCGTTTAACTGTTTATAGATTACAGTAGGTTCATAGGTTACAGGTGTGTTGAACTCCACTTCGTTTCACTTCGTTACGTTCAACTGTTTATAGATTACAGTAGGTTCATAGGTTACAGGTGTGTTGAACTCCACTTCGTTGCACTTCGTTACGTTCAACTGTTTATAAATTACTCCACTTCGTTGCACTTCGTTACGTTCAACTGTTTATAAATTACTCCACTTCGTTGCACTTCGTTACGTTCAACTGTTTATAAATTACTCCACTTCGTTGCACTTCGTTACGTTCAACTGTTTATAAATTACCAGTTTTCAATGGGAAATTAGTAACGACTTTCAAAATTTTTCATTCGTTTTATAAAATTTAATTTTTTTAAAGCATTCATTAGTAAAGTACATTGAAAATCACTCGTAAAGATTTTGTGTTTATCTGTACCATTTCTACTTCATAACGTGTGGATTCTTAACATAAAGATGCAAATCACATATGTAACGTATTTATAACGGATTTTCAAATTTAAATTCAATGAATATCATTTATATGTTATGCAAAAATACGTCAAGCCGTTAATAAAAAGAAAAGTCAATTTAATTAAGTTGGTGAAGTGTTATACATTTAAAACAGCATAAATTTATGCTCAAACTATGTGTGCTAAATGCACATTGCATATTAATAGTTATTTTGCATTAATTCGTAACGGACTTGAGCTTAACGGTTTTTTTGAAAATTCAAATTTTCACTTACGAATATTCATGAAAAAAATACTTGTCAATTTTTTTTGTCCTACCAGAATATCTTTAGCTGCTCAAATTTATAGTATAATTAATAATTAGTAATATTATTTAAACTATAATGAATCATATAAATGACTTTAGAGCATCACAAGTATAATATTTAATACAAATCAAAATTTTATATCATTGACATTGGATTTTTTCCCATATAAAAAAGTTTTACATAAATTGTACTATAATTAAACATTTTTGTGTTTCCAAAGTATTAAAATATTATATTGTCACCGGGAATACGTGTGCATTAAAAATTTGAGCTCGATTGGAGCAGTAGAAGTGGTCGAAAAATCGATTACAAGATTTGCCCTCGACAATCAAACAGATAAGAAAGCAAGTTAAGAAAAACGTAGTAATAGTAATAATTCAACCACAAGCATAATGTGCACGTATCGCAATTCTAGTACCTAAAATTCAATCAACTTGAATCTTTAATTAATCTACGATCTTCTTAGATCACTACAATTCAAGTCATCAAACCCCTACTCGCCAATTTTTTTTAAAACTTTTTACAAAAATTACCTTTAACTGTCGCAAATTATTTAAATAATTTCCTCTCTCAAAACCGGTTCAAATTCCTCGCATCATGTAAATAACACAACATACACATACAATATCATTCGAATACAAAACGTAAAACCGATAGACTTTAGTGTCGCGGTTCCATTCAAGAGATTTTCATTTTCAGTATAATAGTTTAATGTTAAAAATTAATAAAATAAGACAAAATGAATTAAAAACTGTCGCAAAATTAGACATGAACTATAACTAAGTCATGAAGTGAGGAGTAATATTGAAATATATAGTTTTTATCACGAAAATCCACATAAAAAGTGTAGGTTTAAGTTTTTTCTTAAAATTCATAATCTTAAATAAAGTTGTGCATTAAAGCATCAAATTTCCCAAAAATTAATCCAACATAAGTTGATAAAATGAAAAGCAAGACAAAAATGCCCGAAATTAAAATGTTTAAAAAAATTGAAGGGATTAGTGAGAATTTTTTTTATTGCTGCCATAGTTTCTTGTGAAACATTGTGATAGAAAAAATCTCTTTTAACGATAGAGACAAAAAAGAGATAAAAAAGGATTAAATGTTATATTATAATTCACTTAATTATAAAAGGATAATGTCTGACTACATAAACTAAATCAATGCAAAAAGAATCTTCTCCGAAAACCTGTCCATTTATTCCCTATACTCATTTCGACCATCTTGATTTTGTGTTGTAAAGTGGAATTTATAAAGGAGGAATACACATAATAGAGCGACAGAAAGAAGAGAAGAGAAAAAAAAGTTGAAAAGAAAGAAAGAACAAAAAATACATAGAGAGCATAAAAATGCAAGTGGATGGATGAATAAAAGAAATGTATACACAGTTTTTACTTAAAGCGCGATGAAAGTATTTTATTGCCGATTTTTAAGAGTTAAAATAGAATAATAAAATTATTTCAGTGATAATGGCTTAATAGTGTGCAGTAAAAATTTAATGCTGATGCTACATTATTTAAAAATATTGTGAAAGGTCTTACATAGTAGAAAAATAAAAAAAAAATCTACAAGCTGAAGAGGAAAATTTTTATGACAAATATTTTGTCGCTGTTGGAATTCCTCTTAATTCACGAAATAAACTTAATTGGTGGCTTAAAGTGTCTTAAAAGAAACTAATTTGAGAAGTGAATGAGGAATTAAAGAGACGTAGGATTTAATATCATCGTATAATAAATGCGTCCTAAAAATAGACAAAACAATTTTGTGGATTCACGGGAAAATAGAGCATTATCCAAAATAATTTATTAATTATTTAATGTGGCATTTAAAAATTTGTGTCACCCACAAAAAGTTTTTAATAATAAATGACAACATTTTTTTTTCTAATTTTATTTTATAGGGCTCATAAACCAAACTCCCAACGTTATACATGATTTAATTTTTCAAATAAAAAAAAATAATATTAATCTATAATTTGTCCAAGAAGAATCGAGGAGTACAGCATAATGGATTCGAACATCTCATTTTGCGACAAATGAAAAAGTAAATCTCGCTTAATATTATTGATGATAATTTTGTTTCTTCGTGCAAACGCGACACATTCATTAAACAAAAAAAAAATAAAGGGGAGAGGGAGAAAGAGTGAAGTACAGAGCGAGGAAAAGGAGTAAAAAAAGGGAAAGAGAAAAATTGATTTTTCTTCTGCAACATAAATATAAAAATAAACAGAAAAGAAGTGAAAAAGGAAAAAAAGAATCTTCCATGAAGAGCCGTCGTCACATTTGTCATCATCATAATCATCATAAAAAACATAGTAATAATCACCTCAATCGTTTGTAGTGAGGACGGAAAAGCACGTGTGGTGAGGAAGATTGATAGAAAAATATTGACCGAATCGAGTGACGACAGTTTGAGTAAGAAAAACAAACAACATATATGAGGAAGAATAATGACCGTCCGTCGTAAAGTGTTGCATCAAATTACAACATACACATGCATACTACTATTGGCACTAATTCTTATAATCAAAATCGAGCCATCAATAACGGCGAGTACATCAAATAGTAATAACATTATATTGTCGCAATATCAATTACAAAATGATTCTTATTTTACTCATTTGGTGTATGATAAAAGACGCTCTAGTCTGTATGCGGGCGCAACAAATCGGATTATTCAGTTTAATAAGAACCTTACTGTAATCAATAGTAGTGTCACAGGACCAAAGCCCGATAGTCCGGTGTGTCACGCAGGCGGTTGTCCAGACGATGTTGAAACAATCGAAACGAATAATTTTAATAAGCTTTTAATACTAAATACGTACGGCGATGCATTAATTTCGTGTGGAAGTTTACATCAAGGAGCTTGCGAAATTTATGAGAATCTTAATAACTTTCCCAAATCACCGAGATATATTGAACTGCCAGTGGTTGCCAACGATGAGAATTCAAGCAGTTATGCATTTATAGGACCGTCACGTTACACTGCTTGGCAGCGGGAAGATATACTGTATGTTGGAACGACATTTACAAATGTCGGTGATTATCGTGATAATGTGCCAGCAATTGCATCTAGAAAATTGGACGACCTAAATTATGCAGAATTTTCTATACAACAATCAAATATTAATATTGATGTGAAATATCGAGATCATTTCCTCGTAAATTACATATACGGATTTAATAGTACCGATTTTGCATATTTTATGCTAGTTCAAAAGAAGAATCATTTAGTAGAGGAAGCAGGTTATCACACGCGTCTTTCACGAATTTGTGTAACCGATCCAAATTATGATAGTTATACAGAGGTTACACTCTCTTGCTTAGTTAAGAATCAAGATTATAATATTCTTCGTGACGCTAAGCTAACGGAAGCTGGTACGCGATTAGGACAAAAACTAGGAATACGTAAAGATGATCAAGTTCTTGTGGCAACTTTTTCACCTAGCAAAGAAATTACATCAGAGACACAAAATTCATCGGCGATTTGTGTCTACACGCTCAAAGATATTGAAGAAATGTTTAATGAGAACATTCACATGTGTTTTAATGGAACGACTAAGGATCGTAATTTAGGATACATTTCTGGCTCAATATTAGATGGAAAATGTCCTCTAGTCGGATCCATTGGAAATATACATGACTTTTGTCATGCTGGCCTAAAAATTTCCGGTGTTGCTGCAATTGTAGCAAATGCAATCTTTAATTTCGACAGTGAATCAGTAACATCAATAACAACAACACTCACGGGGCCTCATACAGTAGCATTTCTCGGCACGACGGAAGGTAATATCAAGAAGGTTTTATTATCAGATCCATCAGCAGGTGAATATGACCGTGTTGAAGTTGATCCTGATAATCTTATATTGCCTGATACAATGGTGTCGCCAGAACAAGACTTCCTTTATGTACTCTCGAGGAAAAAGATTACAAAAATGAGAATTGAAAATTGTGCATCACATACCACATGCTCAAGTTGCTTAGAATCAAACGACGTCTTCTGTGGCTGGTGTAGTTTAGAGAAGAGATGTACAGTCAGGGGTGCATGTCAACGTGATACAAGTGCATCAAGGTGGCTCTCAATTGGTGTTGGACAGCAGTGCATCGACTTTGAAACTGCAATTCCCGATAAAGTACCAATAAATCAAATGACGACAGTTAATCTTGTGATAAAAACACTTCCAGAGCTGCCATCAAATGCGAAATATAAATGTGTATTTGGTAATTCAACACCCATCGATGCGGCAGTGACCGAGAATGGATTGATATGTCAAACGCCACAACTTAAATATCGTCCACCAATAGAGCTTGGGAAGGATCACATTCTCGTTCCATTATCCGTTCGCTCAAGGTAAATAATACATGTATCTAAAAGAAATAAAATTTTCTTTATTTTTCTCAAGATACTTGAATTGTAAACTTTTTTATTAAATTTTCTGAGTAGTACAAACAAAATGTAACTTTTCCGTTTCCTTCCTTCCATTTCAACAAATATAATCTTCATCTCACATCTATGAATATGCACAGTGAGACAAACAAGGACTTTGTATCGAGGAGCTTTGCATTCTTCGACTGTTCCGTACATGACTCATGCTTTAAGTGCTTGAAATCACAATGGAACTGCAATTGGTGCATATACGATAATAAATGTGTTTTTCAAAATTCAACATGCAGAAATACAGCGAGCATGATAAGTGCTGAAAATGTAAGTCTAAAAAATTAAGATTGATTGTTGAAGTACGAGTTGAGAGCTTATTATTGTTGGCAGGAGTATTCTAACTTGCTTGCTAGCTTCATTTATTTAAAAATAAACTCATTTCAATTTAAAAAATTCAGTTACAATATTGATTTTTCTTCTTCCTTTACCATCCTTGGTGTTCGTTCGTAATTGAAAATTGTGTAGTGAACATGCACAGATAAATGTATCATCAATTTTAATCTATATATCTGTGTATACTGTAATTAAAACTTAATCAAAAATTCCTCTCATTTCGCTCTCATTCATCCTCATCATTATTTAATTTCAATGTATGTTTAACATTTTTTTCTGTCCATTCCTTCTATAGCAATGTCCTCGCATAAAGCCACCGAAAAACGAAATTTTGTTGCCCAATAAAGTGCCAAAAGAGATAAAATTGGAAATAATTAATTTACCACGCCCGCAAAGTGCTCACTCGGGATTTTTATGCATTGTGAACATCGAAGGTGCTCACATGATTTTACCAGCACGAATTGAGGCAAATAAATACATTGTGTGCGATAAAACACCCGTAAGTTAATTATTACTATAGTTTATATTTTTTATCCTTCCACATTATAGCCATAATATTCCTATATTATTACTTTATAATGTATATCATCGTGCAAATAAATAGGATATGGATTATGGCGAGTCGTTTATAATGTCAAGAAATTAATTTTTAAATCAATTTTAATATTCTCCTTTCTTTCTCTTCTTCTTTTTTTATTCCCGGACATACAAACATGATTTTTTTAGTACTCATATGAGGCAAATACGAACGAATATAAAGCAAAAGTTGATGTTACGTGGAATAGAAATCATTATATTGATACTATCAGTATAACACTCTACAAATGCGATGTCCTGGGCTCACATAAAGAACATGCTGATTGTAGCTTGTGTGTCACACGTGATCTAAAATATCAATGCACTTGGTGCAATAAACAATGTGTATTTAATGATACTTGCATGCATGGCGCGGCTGCAGAATGTCCTCGACCACGAATTGACTCAATAAAGCCATTAAGTGGACCGATTGAAGGTGGAACTTTGGTGTCAATTGAAGGAAGTAATCTTGGTATACGTGAAGATGACGTTCGAGGAAAAATAAGGATAGGAAATGTTCCATGTGAATTAGTAAATTACGAAATATCCGTAAAAATTGAATGCAGAACGGGACCGGTAGATAAGGAAATGACTGCAACCGTAAAAGTCGGAAATGAAGCAGGAATAACAGAGTCGAATGTATACTTTCAATACAAGGATTTTAAAATTGATCGAATTTTACCGACACAAGGGCCACAATCAGGTGGAACACAACTTCAAATATTCGGACGTCATTTGAATATTGGATCCAGCGTTATTGCATATTTAGATGATTATATTTGCCATATTAACCTTACACATGCTACAAATGATCGCCTTGTATGTACAACAACCGCCTCACGTTCACCTGAATTTATTCGAACCCTCACATTAATTGTTGATCTCGCAAACCGAACCCTTCAATGTAAAAACGGAAGAGGCCATAATTCAAATGATATCGGAATGGTAGCATCGTACAATGGAGTTGGTAATGGCGGCAGTATGCGTCATGGTGCTTGTAGTATATATAATTACACAGTCGATCCGAAAATCATGCAAATAAAGCCTTTGAAGAGCTTCAAGAGCGGTGGACGCATGATAACGGTGCACGGTACAAATCTGCATACAATACAAAATCCACAAATGGAGGTAATTTTCGGTGACGATAGTATTAATCGAACAGATTGTACTGTAATTAATCCAAATCAAATGGAATGTCCATCGCCATCGGTTACCGAAAAATTTCGTACGTATTTCATAGCACAAAAGAGTAAAACAAAACGTAATGTTATAAGCAACATCGATGCATATCCAACTGCTACACGAGAAATGACACCACAACCTTCATCCTACATGGCTCCATCTGCAGCGTTTGCTATACAAGAGACACAATTAAATTTCCAAATAAGTTTCATAATGGACAACGTGAAAACTGTACGAGACCTAAACAAACATTTTCAACATATAAGAAGCAATTTAATATACGTTGATGATCCAGTATTTTTTCCATTTTTAAATTCAATAAGATTGTATAAAGGTGATACATTGGTCATTGAGGGTGAGAATTTGAATCTTGCATGCGACGAGAGCGATGTTATTGTGACAGTTGGTTCACTACATTGCAATGTTACGAGTTTGGCACTAGCACAATTAGTTTGCACCCCTCCCGCTCAACAGCCTGCGTCCACCGATGAAAATGGCAATGAAAATGATATCGATTTACCATTAGTTGTCGTACGAGTTGGACAAAAATTACGATTCCCACTCGGCTACTTGAAATATGATTTATTAAAGCCATATGCCTTCTCGCAAGCAATGATTGTGATTGCAGCATCAACATTCGTCCTAGCTATTGTGCTCGTATTCATTTTGATAATTTATCGACGAAAAACAACCCAAGCGGAACGTGAATATAAAAAGATACAAATTCAAATGGATACATTAGAAAGTAATGTACGATTAGAGTGCAAACAAGCTTTTGCCGAATTACAAACGGATATATTAGATTTAACAGCCGATATAGAGAATCAAGGAATTCCTGCATTGGATCATGTCAATTATATTATGAAAGTCTTCTTCCCCGGTGTATCGGATCATCCGATATTAAATGGACATAAAGGACGTATGAATATGTTACGTACAAATTATGATGCTGCCATGTTGCAATTTGAGCAACTTATAAATAATAAATTCTTCCTCCTCACGTTTATTGAGACATTGGAAGCACAACGTACTTTTAATATTCGTGATAAAGTCAACGTTGCATCGTTATTGATGGTAGTACTAATGAATAAAATGGAATATGCAACAGACATACTTAAGTTGCTCCTATTACGTCTCGTTGATAAATCCGTGATGACTAAACACCCACACTTGATGTTGAGACGTACAGAGAGTGTCGTCGAGAAAATGTTGACAAATTATATGGCTATTTGTATGTACAATTATCTAAGAGAATATAGTGGCTCATCACTCTTTCTCTTATTTAAAGCCATAAAACATCAAGTGGAGAAAGGATTAGTTGATGCAATCACACATGAGGCACGCTATTCATTGTCCGAGGATCGTTTGTTACGAGAACAAATAGATACAAATGTTGTGACATTACATATATTACAGGATGATTTAGAAGAAAAAGTGCAATGCAAAGTCCTTGATCAGGACACAATAACACAAGTCAAATCGAAAATTCTTGATAGTCTCTTTAAAAATACACCATTCTCAATGCGTCCATCAGTACATGATGTTGATCTCGAATGGAGGCATGGTAGAGGTGGACATCTGACATTGCAGGATGAAGATCTGACAACAAAAACCCTTAATGGGTGGAAAAGACTTAATACATTAGCTCATTACGGAGTCAAAGAATCGGCTGTGATGTCATTAGTAGCACGACAGCATGATTCGTTTAATATTAATACATATAGTAAAAACATGTATCCAAATTGCTATTATATTAACAATACACAAACCCATGTGTTAATTAATGGCGTGCTGGATTCATCAGGTATGCACCATCATCACCATCCTCAGCTGATTAATCAGCAGCAAACGCTCACAACCAGTAGTCATAAGCAACAGTATTGTCGTGTCTATCATCTGGTCAAATCAAATATGGATGAGCATTATTTTGGCATGACAACATTCGGTAATAAAAATCAATCGCATCATCCGTTCTTACCACCGTCCAATAACAATAATGCAACTGTAGAGAGGACACATAAAGCCATTCCAGAAATTTACTTAACACGGCTGTTAGCAACGAAAGGAACGATACAGAAGTTTGTAGACGATTTCTTTACAACAATTTTAACTGTGAATGAAAAACTTCCACCTGCCGTAAAATGGCTTTTCGATTTACTCGATGATGCTGCTCGTAGACATCCCGAGACTAATGATCCAAAAATCATTCATGCCTGGAAGTCAAATAGGTATATAAACGATTTTACTCCTCCTTTATGTATATTATATTACAATTTTTTCTAATTTTGCTTTATGTTCTTTCTCTCTCTGTGTTTGTCTTTCATAACATGTACATCACATCTCAACACAGTTTGCCCTTGAGGTTTTGGGTGAATTTTATAAAGAATCCAGATTTTATATTTGATATAAATAAGACGGTGACAGTAGATGCGTGCCTAAGTGTAGTCGCTCAAACATTTATGGATGCATGTTCAACAAATGAGCATCGTTTGGGAAAGGACTCGCCATCAAATAAATTGCTGTTTGCTAAAGTAATTTTTCTATTCAATTACACAATTGTTTTCCTTCTTTTGTTCCAATTTTCTTTACTGACTCTATTATTATTGAATTTCGCTAGGACTTGCCACATTATAGAGATATGGTGTCAACATTTTATGCGGATATTGCTCGTTTACCTCAAATCAGTGATCAAGAAATGTGCACTTCAATGCAGCAATTGTCCATTCAACAGAACGATGAATTTGATACAATCGCAGCTCTAAAAGAACTGTATATCTACGTGACGACATATAAGGAACAAGTATGTTGAAAATATAATAATAATGAGAAAAAATTGAATTTCAGATATATTATATGTATGAAAACTAATCGATATACATTTATTCCTATTCTTTCTCTATTTTTTCATCTCCTGCAGATAATTGAAGCCCTCGAAATGGACATCAATTGCAAAAAACTCCATCTTGCCAATAAACTAAAGAATGTTGGCGTCACGTTAGATGGTATGGATGATTGCTGACAAATAAAAGATTCAATTCTTGATAATTTTAACTTATACGACTGTAAATAGTTGAAGATTTTAAATGAAATAATAATGATAATAGAATGATGCAAACAGATTGATTAAATAATTCATTTTATTTAATTGATGATGAAAATTTAACAAAACAAAAAAATGAAATGAAAAAAATTTTTTTTTCAATTCATTTCAAACGGAATGGAAAGATATAAAAGGATATTTTTTCATACTTTCATTCTTCGTGAATTTTATTAGTGTCAATGCATGTAGGATTCCATGACCTTTTAAAGGAATAAAACAAAAGTGTATGGAAGGTGAAAGTACGAAAGGAAATATTCTGTTTTTTTTTAAGAAAAGAAAAACTATTTTAATCGCGATAGAGTCGTTTTTAATTTTAATGAAATAAATGAAGTGAAAATCAAAAAAATATAGCCAACGCTTTTAAAGATTTTTTTTAAATTAAATAAATGAAGACGATAGACGAGGATGAACAGAAAAGTTAATCATGTTTGCAAACGGTTTTTTTTTCTTGCAATTTTAAGAAAAGGATTTTATTAGAATTTTAGTGGATTTCTTTTACATTCAATATCAATATTTTAGCGCTACCCCAAACCCTTTTCCACAAAATGAAATAGGAAACGTCTTAGGAAATGCAGCGAATAGAAAGAGAATTTGCAAAACAATTAGATTAGAAAGAACCTCCACAAAATGGCAAGGGATCGATGACTTTGGGGAAATTTTGAGAGATTAATTTGAAAACTGGAAATTTGAATGGAAAGCATTGTCAGTTCTGATTGAAATAAAGTAAATTGTAGACCTCTTAGGGGTCGTTCATGAATGATTCAAAGATCCTTGTGTGAGTAAGCAAACTAGTCGGACGTAAATTTGTCAACTCTTAAATGATTTAATTAATTTATCGACGTAAAACGCAAGTGTTCGGTATTCAGTTGATTTTAATAATAGAATTTCTTGGAATTCATCAGTTTTAAAGCTCTATAACCCCATCTTTGTAACGTCATTTATTTATAACCCTTTCAGAATTTTTTCACTTTTTCCTTAATATCTAAGTTTAAATATGAATAAAATTTAATTCATGACTAATGAAGCCCTTAAAAATAGCTCCTGGTCACTTTGAAATCAAGATTCTAGTATCAAACCCAGTTGAAATTACTTAAAGAACCAGTGAAATTAAAATCAAAATGCTTGATCTCATAAAATATTTCCTTAAACATTTAAGACTACAATTCTGAATCTTCTCATGCTGCTCATCCTTAAATCATCCAATAATTGCCTAAAGCAACTGACAAATGTCACTCAAATTCATCAAAGTCATCGCACCATGTCAAAAAAAAAAACCATTAATTAACTCGAAATATTTCAATCATCGTTGATAAGTATTAAATAAAGTTCACTCATTAATTAGATTGATTAAGTAATTACTCAATAATTTACAACAAATCAGCTCCCCGCCATTCAAGTTTTATTTACATTTCATTTAGTTCTTTCGGGCCAATATTTACTTACGTAATAACAATTAAATGATAAATGACAAAAAAAAACAAGAAATAACAATGAAATGTGAAAAAATAACGATAAATGAAAACTTACATGCATTTTATTAGAAAAGAGAGTGAAAATGATGATATTTAATTTTTAATTATATTATAACAATGAAGATTATTTTAACATGATGAACTGTGTGAAGATAAAGAATCTCTTTTTATACTCATTTAATTAAGAATTAATAATGACAATTTTAAGATCATTACGGAAGAAGAAATGGGATGAAAATAGGAAACATGATGCATTTGATATGTATTTATATTTAGAAATGAAGGTTGATGACGTAACAAACCTCTCCTTAATTTTAAAAAAAAATATATAAATGATGAAAAAAAAATATTAGTAATATCCTCCCAAAAAATTTTTGCGTTCGATTTTGAGAAAAAAAAAGAATATACTCGAGAGATAAAGAAACACGAAAAATATTAAAAATATTTTAGTAATTTTAACAAAAAAACAAGAGAAAAATGCAAGAAGTCTGTGTAATTTTTTTTATAAAAAAATATGATTAATTTGCAATAGAAATGTAAATCTCCTCAATAATTAATAATCATGTATAACTTAGTAGTTTTTTTAATGAAACAAATCAAACTTTAATTAATGATTTTTCTCTTATTATTTCGAACCTTAGCTTGTGATACAAACTTTTAAGGTATTATTATTATATTTTTTACACAACAATGAAACAAGAAACAACAAGGAATGAAACTGACAAAAAAAAGTTTTAGAAAATAAAAATTTGATGAATGTCCGCTAAAAAATTAAAAGAGAGGCTTTTTTTTGTAACTTACAGCAGTTCCGGTGGACTTCTTTTTCTTGGAAATATTCCTTTTATAAATCTACTTCCCTCTTAGTCACAATTTAAGTGAAGAAATAAGAAGTATGCAGTTAAGTGCCTTGCTGGTCGAATGGGTAAGGCGCTTGGCTCAAATTTGGGATGGTAACTCGAAGATCGTCGGTTCGAATCCAGCCATTTCCAAATTTGTTTTTTCTTCGGAAGTTTAGATACTTCGACTGCTTAATGTACGAGATCAAGCCATAATTGGGCATTTGGGCAACGTTGGATTAAGGAACGGGTCAGGAACTTTAAGTGTAGCGGGAGAAATAGGAACGAGAGCTACAAGATTACCCACGAATGGAATATTGTGAGAACGGATCTGAAAAGTATCACGTCACGCCTACAGAAGATCGAAACGAGAGCCTTAGTTTATTTGAAACCTAGATTGGAAGATTAGAAGTTTGATCCTACATAATACTAATTCATGCTAATTCATATGTATACAAATACAGCAGTTCCGGTAGACTTCTTTTTCTTGGAAATATTCCTTTTATAAATCTACTTCCCTCTCAGTCACAATTTAAGTGAAGAAATAAAATCATGAATGCCGAATTATTTATTAAGGTCGATACTTAGGCCGTATAAAGATCAAAATACGTAAATTTGATAATTACAAGCTGATTTATAAGTTTGATACAGCATCGTAGCCGAAATTTGCTCAATATTTTAAAGAAGTGCGTCAAATTTAAGTCAAAACTAATCCATTACATATTCTGTACAAATATTAAATTTATTTAATTTCAATTACATCCAAAAAGAAAATAAGTCAAGACATCAATCTCATGTCAATACAGTTATACGACCATCCTTTTTCTGAAGAACTGGACTCAACTTCTTAAAATATTTCTCGACAATTTCAATATCTAATTCTTTTGTTACACGATTATTGCGCTTCCTTGTAAACATGACGTATCCATTTCCACCACTTCCGATGAAGCTTGGCACAATCAATCTATACCATTTAGTAAGGTCTAATTTTTCATATCGAACAATATCACACTCACGACACAAGACATCAACGGATACGACTCTTTCGTTCATAGGCATTGTGACATTAAAAGTGACTCTTAGTCCAGAAAATTGTAGGAAGTTGTAGTAACGCCAGGCATTAGCGGAAAATTGCAAAACTTCCAGAAGATCTTTTCCTTGAAGTTCAAAGACACTCAATGTATTTGTGAATGGCAGAGTCGTGAACAGATCATCAAAAACAAGAACTCCTGGGGGTAAGTTTGTTCTAATTCCACCAGCATTTGTGATTGCTACTGTTGCGTATGTCCAACTGCTATCTTGGAAATCAGGATGCGAAACAATAAAATCAAGAAAGGCGTCAGTTACGAAATCTCCAATGTTACATTCACCAAATGCGCAATCCTTTTGATAAAGTATATTTTTGATGGAACCAACTTCTCGTTGTCCAATCTTATCAACAGTTTCTTTCCATGGTTTCATTTCTTCAATAATTTGTGGATCTGGCACTATACTTGAATTCATAAATACTGGATTTCCTTCATATTCTTGAATCTCTCCATCTTCATCAAAATAAACAGTCAAATCACCTAAGTACTTTGTATATGCTGAAGCTTGAACAATTAGTGTCTTGTGATTATTTTGTGTGTATTCAATTGGATATGTATCAATTGCAGCATCAGGTCCAGGTACTGGTTCCCCTTTATACAATAAAGTATGTGAATGACCACCGACGATTACATCAAGAAGACCTTCAGAATTTTGAGCCATTTTTCGGTCAATGACTAATCCACAATGTGATAATACGACAATGATATCAATGTCTTCATCCGTTTTCAATCTTCTTGCTTCATTCGTCACTGACTCAATTTCATCAAGAATTTTGAGTTTTTCAGGATTAGAAATTTCTACAGTACTTACAACTAGAGCTCCAATTAAGCCAATTCTTCTTCCATCACGTTCAATAATTAGTGATTTCTTGTATTTTCCTTGAAGGTCTGGTTCGTCAGTATCGTCAAGATTTGCAACAAGAACTGGTGATTTTAAGCTTTCCAAGAAATGGACGACTTCTTGTACACCTCGGTCGAATTCATGATTGCCTTTTTAATGGGAAAGAATGGATTATATAGAAAGGAAAGTTTTGAAACTGGCAATTGATGGCTCAGAAGTAAAAACCATCCATAAATTTACCTCAATCTAAAAATCCCTAAAATTCAGCTACCCTAAAATGCAGATATTACTGACAAGATGCAGATGGTGCTGCTAAAGTGCAGATGAAATTTATTTTCCCTAAAATGCAGATGAAATGCTGTTGCTTTAAAAAAGGTATAACGCAGATAATTTTTATCGTATAAGGTGCAGATAAGATTCTGCCTAAATATAGATCGTATAATTTCATTGAAATACATCAATATTCGATGACTTTTTTTCTTGATGCGTGTTAATGACTTTAAATGATCCATGATGAAACTTAAGGGTAAATATTTTGTCTGACGACATATTTATGTTTATATTGGGTCGAGTATGGGGCATTTTAGGGGGGAGGTGTCAAGAAGTATGCAACGTTTTAACTGTCGTCTGTCTTTTAAAAAAAAATCACGAAAAATATTTGTTAACAAATTCACACCAAAAACATTTTTTTAAAATTTTCCACCTTTTTATGATTTATGAAAATTATCAAAATAAAATAAATTATGAACGTTAAAGGGGGGGGGGGGGGTGAGAGTTATAACATATTGTAAAAAGGGGGGGGGGTGAAAAAAGTCGGTTTTTTGCGTAACGTAATAAGTGAACGGCACCTATACTTTTTATGAGCTCATCTATATATCTTGCAAAAATGTTACATGTCGTTTAACAACAAAACTAGTGTATCGGGTAGAAACCCAATGCGGATATATTCGCACCGTACCATCAAAAGTCTTATGAATAGACAGAGCATAGTTCAGCATATTTCAGCATAAGTTTGAAGGTATAAATCCTGACGAACCAGCTATATATCTTCAAACATATGCTGAGCGAAGCTGAGCTGCTGACTTTCTAGCTTTATACCTTCAAAGCACAGCACAGCTGAGCATCGCTCAGCATACGTTTGAAGTTATAAAGCTAGCGTGTCAATTGAGCTTCTTTCAGCATATGTTTGGAGGTTTTAAGCTTAACGAACATTCTTTAAACGTTTTTTAAAAAAAATTTTCTTCCAAAGTTTAATTTTATAAAAATCACAGTAAACTTTTGTTTTAAAACATTCGTAGGAAAGGAAAGTTTTTTGCTTTTTTTGAAGCAACGGCTGTTCCTCCCTTGCCCAAAAACAATACAGCTCTTCTATAGAGCAGCACGGATCAAATGTATAAAACTAGAAGTCTCTACGATGTCTCGTAATTGAGATTTCTTGCTTGCTTGCTTGTTTGCTTACAGAAAGCGTATTTTGCGATTTTCTCAGCAATGCCTCAATCAATTAGAAATGTGCTTTTTGCAAAAGATGTAAAATTTCAGGCACAGACTTTTCTTCTGAGACCTTTTACATCCAATTTTGCTTCGTTTTCTCACAAAATGCGAAAAACTGATTTTTCAATCTGAACAAAACCAATAGATTCACACGTGAAAACGGTGTGAATATAAAAAATACATTTGCAGATATATCAATGAAAGCTGACAAAGTTATAACAAAATTTATAAAAATTATTCGTGAGTGACGCTTAATTAATGTGATCTTCCGACATAACTCCTTAACTTTAGAAAATGAGTTCTATGTCAAAAGAAATCAGGCAGAAATTATCTGCATTATAACAGCATTTTATATTTATTTTATTAAAACTATACGATCTACATTTAGGCAGCATCTTATCTGCTTTTTATACGATAAAAATTATCTGCATTATACCTTTTTTAAAGCAACAGCATTTCATCTGCATTTTAGCAGTACCATCTGCAGCTTGGCAGTAATATCTGCATATTTGGGTAGCTGCATTTTAGGGATTTTTAGATTGAGGTCATAAATTTCTCTCTTTGACACAAACGTGTGTCTGTATGAAAAACACTGCATTATCTATCGCGAGCCTATGCAAAACTCATTTAAAGTACAAAAATCTAGGTGATAGTATATGAAGTGTGTTTTTTTGGTTTGTACAAAAATAAAGATGTGTTACAAAAACAAAAATTAGCTACATAGTGCATTTTGTTCTTAAAAATTATTATTATTATTATTATTAGCATCACAATACATCTTATAGAAACATTCTTTAACCCTAGATTTAAATAAACTTATTGAAAATTTGTTCTTAATTGTCTGCTCGAGAGAATTTTACAACACTAGCCCTCTAATGAAGAACGTTTGACTACCTAACTGGGTACGAGTAGCTGGAATGACATAATTTTCTCTCTGTCTTTTTCGATTGTTGTGTCTTTCATTGGCAGTTTGAATATTGACACTATTTTTAAGCATGTTCGACGTAACTTTAAAGACATGAATGCATATACTTTGATATAGCGTAGTGACTGGAAGAATTTTTATACTATACAATTCTGATCTGCTGCAGAACCAGGTTTTGTTTAAAAGAATTCTTGACTATCTTTGGGCAATTTCAAGTGAGTTTAAGTTGTACTGCGCAGTTGCTGACCACACAACATTCATACCCTAGCGAGAGTAACTAGCAAATTGCTAGTCTTTCTATTCTACTACTTGCAATTTACTAGTTATTGTTAAAACAACTTACTGTTAGTAAATTACACTTGCTATTTACTAGCAAATTATCATGTGAAATGTTTGATCAAATCTGCTTAAGTTCGAATCCTACGATAAATCATCAAAAAAGAATTTTTCGCGTCATAAAAAATTTTGTTCTGAATTTGGCATTTGCCATATACTTCACAAGAGCGCGCAAAAATCATCATTATGAGATTGATGTTTGATCAAGTCTGCTTAAGTTCAAATCTTACAAAAAATCATCAAAAAAAGAATTTTTGCGTCATAAAAAATTTTGTTTTAAATTTGGCATTTGCCATATACTTCACAAAAGCGCGCAGAAATCACCATTATGAGATTGATGTTTGATCAAGTCTGCTTAAGTTCAAATCTTACGAAAAATCATCAAAAAAAGAATTTTTGCGTCATAAAAAATTTTGTTCTAAATTGGGCATTTGGCATATACTTCACAAGAGCGCGCAAAAATCGCCATTATGAGATTGATGTTTGATCAAGTCTGCTTAAGTTCGAATCCTACGATAAATCATCAAAAAGGAATTTTTCGCGTCATAAAAAGTTTTGTTTTAAATTTGGCATTTGGCATATACTTCACAAGAGCGCGCAAAAATCGCCATTATGAGATTGATGTTTGATCAAGTCTGCTTAAGTTCGAATCCTACGATAAATCATCAAAAAAGAATTTTTCGCGTCATAAAAAGTTTTGTTTTAAATTTGGCTTTTGGCATTTATTTCACAAGAGCGCGCAAAAATCATCATTATGAGATAAATGTTTGATCAAATCTGCTTAGGTTCGAATCCTACGAAAAATCATCAAAAAAGAAATTTTTGCGTCATAAAAAATTTTGTTTTAAATTTGGCATTTGGCATATACTTCACAAGAGCGCGCAGAAATCACCATTATGAGATTGATGTTTGATCAAGTCTGCTTAAGTTCAAATCTTACGAAAAATCATCAAAAAAAGAATTTTGCGTCATAAAAAATTTTGTTCTAAATTTGGCATTTGGCATATATTTCACAAGAGCGCGCAAAAATCACCATTATGAGATAAATGTTTGATCAAGTCTGCTTAAGTTTAAATCTTACGAAAAATCATCAAAAAAAGAATTTTTTACTTTTAATTTACTAGCAAATTAGCATGTGAAATGTTTGATCAAATCTGCTTAGGTTCGAATCCTACGAAAAATCATCAAAAAAGAAATTTTTGCGTCATAAAAAATTTTGTTTTAAATTTGGCATTTGGCATATACTTCACAAGAGCGCGCAGAAATCACCATTATGAGATTGATGTTTGATCAAGTCTGCTTAAGTTCAAATCTTACGAAAAATCATCAAAAAAAGAATTTTTGCGTCATAAAAAATTTTGTTTTAAATTTGGCATTTGCCATATACTTCACAAAAGCGCGCAGAAATCACCATTATGAGATTGATGTTTGATCAAGTCTGCTTAAGTTCAAATCTTACGAAAAATCATCAAAAAAAAAGAATTTTGTGCGTCATAAAAAATTTTGTTCTAGTTAAATTGAAATGACTAGTCAATTAGCAAGCAAAAATGCGGGTCTTTGGCGATAATTTGAACTTGGATTTTGACTAGTAAATAGCAAGTAGCAAATGGAAAGTTATCTAGTAAATTACTAGTAAGTTTCTACTAGGGATAAACATAAGTCGTGATTGAACATGTGCATAATAAAGCGCTATCGCTGTTTAATGTGTTTAATCCGTATTATATCGGTTGATTAGTACTTTTAAGTGTATTTCTATACAGTCTCAACTATTAACTCTTTGAAGAGCTCAAGGGAACATCAACATGATGGGAAAAAGTTATTACTACAAGTTGTAAGTTAAGTTTCATCAAGTTTACTTCCCCTTTTGCTTCCTCAGCAAAATCATTCAATCGCGGATTTATAAAGCTTGTCAGACAAAAGATTAAAATTAAGCATCTTCAACTTACCCAAAGTCGTAGCATCAGCAGGAAGAATGTTTAAAAAGTGACTTGTTACATTCCATCCAAATAATTCGTACCAGAGTGAGCCAACAAAATTATCTCCAATGTTTAAGAAAACTGGATTTTTATTTTCTTGTTCGCGCTCTGCTTTTAACTTTTTGACCATTGTCATAACTCGAGCAATGCCACCAATGCATATCTGTCCCAATTTTTCCTTACAACTCGTAGAATCTGTGTTTGTTTGTTCAAATCTGAAAGAATGACAAGTAAATAAAGTTGTTAAAATGAAGTAAATTTACTCATCATACAAAAAAAAGCTTACTTTGCATGAAAATCGTTGATGTGAATGATTGATAGTGGAAATAAGCTTTGATTCCTTTCAATAACTGTAGCTGACTGAACAGAACTCGTCCAAAGTTCAAGAATGACAACAGCAAAATAAATGAATGATTTCATCTTGTTGATCGTTCGAAAACTAAAAGCCAACTGGCATGACTGTTTTTTTAATTTTTGTTATTCGATTTTTATTTTTTATATTTTTTTATATTTGTAGTGAACGTTATCAAATATGTTCTTTTATATTTTTCTCAATTGGTTCGTTAAATTAAGATAATGAACATATTGTTAAGATAGCAAGCATTGAATGACATTTGGTAAAAGAAGCACTTGAAGATAAGCTGCAAGATATATAGATGTGCTCATACAAAAATATCGCAGTTTTTAAACGTCAAAAATTTGAATTTTCTAAAAACACTAACACTATAAAAGAAAATTTTCAATTTTTGTTTTGCAAAATTTTCAACTTTCTGTTAAGTTTTGTTGATACAGGAGTATTGCAAATGCTTTGCTATAATTTAAAGTAACTGACTTAAGTCAAATGTTGTTGCATCTGTCGATATTTAAATGAAAACTTGAAAATAGAAAATTTTAAAAATTTTTGTTTGTATGAGTACACAAAAAATAGTATGGTCGAGTATGGTCAAGTATACTCTGTATGAGCCCATCTATATATCTTGATAAGCTGCATAAAGCTTTGGTTTAGATTATAAGCTAATTATACCACAATTTTAGAGATAACATTTTTGGTGATTAGTAATAATTATTTTTCTGAGAATTTCATGTTCTTTTTTGAAAAAGTTGTTCAATAAATTATTTCTATTGTTTCCAAGGAGCTCTCATTCACTTAAAACTGGATGCTTTGCCTAAAATTCAACTAGACAAAATCTGTGGTCGGCAAATGGATCTTATTTTTAGAACAATTAGATTTAGTACTTTTTTAGTAGTCCTTATTTTTAGAACTTAATCCGTTATGAATTTTAGCCAATCAGAAAATTTTGTTAATTTTCAGTCAAAATCCTTGTGTTTTCTTACAGATTACTATTTTAAACATAAAATAGATACACATTCTTTGTTTAAAACTGTTTATGGATTTAATATTTCATCTGGTTTTGATAAAATTTCGCGTTTTCTTTTTCAAATATTTTTCGTCAAAATGTAAACAAACGTGACGAAGGAAAAAATTATTTTGGGAAATCCCAAAGTCTAGTGAATTAAGCTACTTAATGCTAATTTTTTGAATATCAAAATGTTTACTGACCCAAAAAGGCTATGAAATAAACTAAGTTCTATATTATTTAATAGCAAAATGACTTAAAAACAACAAAACAAATTATGATCAAATAACGTTTTTCCTGAATTTAAATTTTACTGCCCGAAATGTTTAAAAATTCAAATTCAAATCTTTAAAGTTTCAACTGATTTTATAAGCTCTTTGCCGACCACAGGACAAAATCTGATACGAACATATTAAGGGTTTCGACCGTTACTTGTGATAATGTGATTATGTCTTGTTTGTCTGTCTGACATACAAAATTCGTAGTTTCATACCCTTAAATTAAGCAAGTTTCCTTTGAAATTTATAGGAAAATATTATGTTTAAGCCCGTATAAGCATAATATCTCTAATAAAATGACTAAAATTTGTAAAGTTTTCTTTTTCAATTTTGAATTTATCGAACGTGAATATTATAACACCCTTAGACTTTTGATATGTCTGTCTAACATGAATTGTCAGCATTGTGAAAAAACATCAGCTAAATCTAGTGAATTAAAACTCTGATTAAAATTCTATAATCGAAATAAAAGAATCGAAATTGCATTGAAAAAATTCTAGAATTTTAATTAGAATTGAAATAAAATTTGATTTCAATTCCAATTCTATTTCGATTCTAGAATTAGAATTTAAATTGAACGAATCAATTCTGGAATTATAATTGAAATTCTTCCTTGAAATTTATTCAGTTCCGCGGAACTAAGCAGTGCCAACAGTTCCTTCATGTCCATATTGAACCATATGCTCATATTTAACCTGATAAAGCAGTAAATGCCTTTATTTTTTGTTCAGTTCCTGTCGAAACAACAAGTTATTGGTAAATTTCAAGGAAGAATTTCAATTAGAATCCCAAAATTGATTCGTTCAATTTAAATTCTTATTCTAGAATCGAAATAAAATTGGAATTGAAATCAAATTTTGTTTAAATTCTAATTAAAATTCTAGAATTTTTTCAATACAATTTTGATTCTTTTTTTTCGGTTCTAGAATTTTAATCGGAATTTTAATTCACTAGCTAAATCTGACAATTTTTCAATTTCATGGCATATCTTATCACTTTTTACACAAAATTTTTTGTTTTGTCTCGAGTTGAATTTTGATCAAAGTAACCCGTTTTACGTGCATTAGAGCCCCCTGGTTGTTTCTTGGCTTTTTTATGGGAATTATATTGATGAGAAAACTAAAGATAAGAAACTGTTTATTGAGAATTATTTTAGAAAATTGATTTCTCATATTTTTCCCACAACGAAAATAAAGATCTTGGTACCCGCTTTGTCCAACTCTCCGATTACTGAAAATCTCTTAATATACTTTGTTGTTGCTCCTACATATGGAGATTATTTGAATAGCAATCTGATTAAAATTTTGTTTAAAAAAATGCGAAAAATATTAAAAACCATTAAATACCAATTTTATCGGGTTCATTCTTTTAGACATTCACGATTTAAAAGAGAATGAAAATGGGACTGAGATTTTGTGAAACTAATGAACGATTGTTTCTGTGGTAAAGCAAAGATGAGAACCGAATTGACTTATTGAATACTTAAAGAGCTTGTGAGGCTTAATTTTAGAGTTATGAGTAAAGTTGATTAAAGAATTGAAGGAAGAAGAAGAATTACTTGTTTTACGAATGTTTTATAAATCATAATTAATTATTTGTTCATCCAATTTATTTTAAAATAGATATCCATGACCTATAATAAGAAATAATCGCTGTCCCTTTAATTGCGAAAAATCATAAAACAGCAAGTGAGAAGCACATTATTTCATTATGTTGCCAAAAAAAAAAATTATGATAAATGATGTTCCTCATTCTAGTCATTCCTTCTATACAAAATTATTACTTCTGTTATCACTGACGATAAATTAAATGCAATTTACTTTCATTTTTCTTCCTTACTAAAACATGATGTATCGTGCACAACACATCCGAGTACGAAGATATCAAGGTCTTATGTCTTATTAGAAATATTAAGGGAAGTATGATGTTGTACTAAATGTATGATGACTATCATGATAGAAAAACATCAAATATTTTGTTCTAAACGAGCGATTCGCATCTCATTTGTTTTCATTTCACACTTTTTCTTCGTACAGAAATTTTTTTGGATATTTTGTGGCACTTGATTTTATTTGTGAAATTCTTAAAGAAATTTAGTTGAATTTTTGTGATAAATCTAATAATTTTCTTAGCAAGAGAATCATAGTTGAATCTGAAAACATCAACAAACATTCAAATTGTACCAAAACAAAGTGAGAGACCCACTAAATACTCAAAAAAATACACAACAAAATAGAAGAGAAAGAGAGGAAGTTATCGGTCTTAGAATCTATAAATTTACAGTAAAATATTTTTCGCTTCACCATTTGTTGTACAGTTTCCGTGCAATTAACAGCAACAGATTAATTAGGTGTGAGTGCTTACGATAATTTTTATAAATTTCTGCATAAATTATTGAAAGTTTTAATTATTTTTGATTATTAGAAAAGTGTACAAATAAATACGAAAAAAAATGTCTGCCTCATCGAATCAACTTAGTGACTTTAAGAAACAACAAAAGGTACGGTGAACTTTGATACCATCGATGTGATTTGAATGTTTTTGTGTGTATTTTTACGAATTTTGTTTTCTTGAGTCTTTCTCGCATTTTTATTTGCCGGTATCAATGCTAAAAGTCTTTTTAATGCAAAGTAAACACAAAACGGAATCGATAATCAATGCAACATGAAATTCCAATTGAGTTGTCGGAACATAAATCTTATTTGTTATTGACAAATTGATACCTCTGTTATGTAATTCTTGTACTTTTCTCTTCCTTTTACCTTTACCCCACACCGATAGTGGATTTTTAAAAATTATGAATAGAATTTTTGGCAAAAACATTTTTGATAAGAGCAATTTAAGTCTTTTATAAGATCTCTGTAATCTTATCTTTTGACTTTTGTGATATTCGTATCTATCATTTTTAAAAACTGTAGCTATGAATATTTTGTACACAATTTTTTATTTTTAATATAAAAAGTGCTTGCAATACACTTGAAAATGACAGAGTTGCTGATTTGATAATCAAGCTTATTTTGGGAAATTGATTTGTCAATGACATTAAGTTTAAAATTTAAAGGTCTCAGCCAGGATGCTCAATTCTGTTTAAGTTTTCTAGGAATAACCAAAACCTTACATTTTCAGTCTGGACCAAAAACATCCAGCTCCTTCCCTAGCAAGCATTTATATTAATCGAGGATTAATCATTTAAAATATTTCTTTGACTAGTCTGTTCTAAATCGAGTTTGGTTTTACTGCTAAATGAATTCTTAATGACTAGCTTGCAGCACCTTGTATGACTTTGACAAGACAACCTCAAGAGGCTTGTAAATTGTTCAAACAAACTTGTTCGCTACGTTATAAGTCATTAGATTCGATTTATATTTCGAGTTATTCGATTGTTATTTATTTTCTTAAAAATCAAAAATTTATGGCAAATTCCTGTCTAGTTCTGATTCATCCAAACAATACCCTTACAACTCTGAATTTAATCATGAGAATAAGAAAACAATAGCAACGGAGGAAATGTTTTGCACTTATTGAAAAGTAGAAGTGAATTTTATTAGCATATGCTTAACTTATGTCAATTAAAAATTGTTTTATAAATGAGTCAATGCGTCGCATGATTTACAAATATTTTTATGAGAATTTCTTGTTGGAAGAACTGCCTTGTAAGAAAAACTAAATTATCATTATGTTAATTGATAATGGAAATTTGCTATTGTTATGATTGTGTCATGTAAATAGATTTGTGTCATTTTGTGATATTTATGAGAAGATCTTGTGTATTTTACACCTTAGTCTCGTCACAAGGCGGTTGGCAATTATGATTGATGATTCACATCAGCTGTTGATTGCAGGTGAAAATGATAAACACGCAATTTTCAAAGTCATTGAAAAATTTCAGTTTCTAATTTTTTAAGGTGCTTGATTAATTACGTAATGTTAATGAAAGTGAAAAATTCTTTAATGGAAATCTTAATTCCTTTTAAATACCACAAACTCGGTTTTCAAGAAATAACTTAATAAGTTTCATAATTTTGCTATACCTAAACTTAGACGAAGATAAATGTAAACAATTTCATGGCAATTGTTAAAATTAAATGTTATAGATTCAAATTATGTGAGCATGATGCGAAAGAATTTCAATTTGAATCCGATTTTAAAAATTCTAAACATTGCAAGAAGTCTTTCAATTATTACACCAAAAATCAAGGAGATATTTCAGAATGTCTTAATGTTGTCGAAGGAGGTTGAAAAATATTTTAATTGAACAAGATTTGTTTCACAGGTGTTGAATTTGTCAACAATTTCTATGCATTTAATATAATTAATATGTTTATTGAGTAAGCTTACTTACCCAGTGCTGCGATTAGAGATCGGGTGAAGACAGCTCATCAAACTTATTTATAACCAATTTTAAACTTTAAAGAAAAAAACTTTTGAATGAGAAAAATCACGTTCACGACAGAAATTAATTTGATTTTCTTACAACAATGTTTGCTGTGATTATGTCGATGTCAGTTAATTTCATTCTTATTCTTGTCTAAATTTGAAGCATTTAATATTACCAAAAAATCGAATTTTTAAGTGCATTATAAATAAATTTGCTTTAAAAACTTTTTTGCTTCCAACTTTGCATCCAAATTATACTCATTGAGATAAAAAAAAACTTACAGCATGTAACGCCATGTATAAGGAATTTGATCAAAAAACTTGTTTTTGTTTCTTTCTTATTCACCGCTTCATTCTTTCTCATATCACTTGTCTTCTCTCATCTCCTCATTCGAAGTTAAAGTGAAACGTTTAGTACGTAATCGTAGCGTATTCTGATTTATGAAAAGTATAAAGTTTATTAGTATGCATGTATTTATTTAATGTTCTTCCATTTTCTTTCTTTGCATCTACAATAAGAAGTCATGTAAATTAGATTTGATTGCTTCAGACAAATAGTTGCTTATCATTTGATTATTTTATCTGACTTTCATTTTATTAAATCTTATCTAGTTTTATAATAAAGTCACTCATAAAATAGATTTACTGAAAATAATATTATCCAAATATAAACAATTAACTCTAAATTGTTTGAAATGAACTGCTTACCATGATAGATATGCCATTTCCACACTATTAAACAATTATCTAAACCGAGACCATAGATAAAATATTTTGAAAATAGAAGTAAAGTTTATCTTAGTTTCTATGCGGTTTTTCATGGGTAGTGGAAAGCCAGTTGATCTCACGAGGATTAAGCATTTGTTTATAGATTGTTTGGTTTTTGATAAAGAATGAAAAGTTTTGAAGGTCACACAATATTTTATAAAAATTAAATTTTGAATTAAATCTTTGAGGTCGATACTTAGTTCTATAGTAAAATGAACAAGGAATTAGGAGTAGTTCACTTATTACGTTTCGCTTTTAGGGAGGTCTGAGATTTTGTGAGAGTTCAAACAAAGCAAATCTTTAAGTATATTAAATTTATGAAAAAAAATCTCGTCAAAAAATCCAGATTACAGACAAATTAATCTATAAATTGAAGTAAAAACTGTTGAATGCAGTTTGATTGAATTATTGAAATAAGCTTGAAAAAGATTTAATATTTATTAGAGGCAATAATAGAATTTTTCGATAAGTTGATCAGAACTTATTCATACAAATTAATCACTTATTGTTGAATATTAATTTATCGAATATTTATCAGAAATATTCATACAAATTCTGTTTTATTTTTCATTCTCAATTAAAAAGTAAGCAATTAGAAGACATAGTTGCTTCACATTTTAAATAATAATTGTAATAATTGAACATTATTATGAAACATCAACTCACTCAATTTCTTGTATAAATGCTCTTTATTATTATGTTCAATTAGACATTCAATTGTTTTGATCGAAGATAATTGCTACTGACCAACACTATAATTACCTAATTTCTCATTTGCCTTACAAATTCTTTAGAATTCATGCTTTGCAGGCGCGTGATCAGGGGGGGGGGGGGGGGTATTTTGGGGACAAATCCCATGACGTTTTATAAAAAAATCATAAAAATCCCCCCCTTCCCTCTGAATTTTCCATATAACATTTTTTTTGTCCCCCTTTCTTCAAATTCCTGGTTACTCTCCTGATGGTTTGTTAAATTAACTTTCCAGTAGCCTTAAATACATTATAAAGTTAAAATTTAAAGCTTCACTAGAATTATCAACAATTACTGAGTAGGAATCAAACTATTATCACGAATACTTAATAAATTATCCAAGTCATCGCATTCTTTCTAGGAAAACACAATTGCTTATAAATAAACGAAACAATTTTGAAATTCGAGCATTACTTCAATCAAGTTTTAAGATTAGGCAAACAAACTTTAAAGTTGATACTTGATAATCAATTCAGAGTCTAACCTAAAGTTTGCAGAGAGTTTCACTTATGACGTCCAGGAGGGGGGGGGGGGGGGGGGGGTCAGCAAGAAAAGAACAATAGAAATTCCAGGAAATCCATAGTTCTTTTTTGAAAAATGACCGTTAATTTCGGACGTCATAAGTGAACGGCCCCAAACGAATAAATTGTTGATAAAGAAGCAAAGAAAATTCATAAAAACAAAACACAATGAGAATTAGTGGTCAAATTGGAGGTTATATTGAGTGTAATTAATTCACCAATAACTCGTGCAAAACGTGTTTTGTAGCACGGTTTAAATACTCACCATAATTGGCAATTAAATGTAATAAGTTTTAAAACACAAAAACATAAAATTCACCTCAGAAATAATTACATTCATTACATAGAATTTTGTGCTGCATATTTTAAATGCAAGAACATTTCATTACAATTTGTAAAATTATTTTTAAAATTTCTTGAATACCACGCATTAAGCAATATATGCATGCATGGGAAAATGCAATTATTTGCTAAATTTAAATTTTTAACATATGTTTAAAGGAATTAAGCGTTGTTTATGACGTGCGACGTTCGAAGAATTCTATATAAAAAAATACATTTAACTTTCTTGTACAGGCTCACTTAATTACTTCCTTATTCTTACTCTTCTAATTTAAGAATGGACCAGCTGTTGCCACCATTGGAACTGGAGCTCCAATTGGAGTCAAAACAGCAGTTCAAACTGTTGGAAAGCGTGGTCCAATCCTCTTGCAAGACATCAACTATATTGATGAAATGGCACATTTTGATCGTGAAAGAATTCCAGAACGTGTTGTTCATGCTAAGGTTTGTTGATGAGTTCTTCAATGTCTTTATAAATAATAATTTTCGTCTCAAATTGTAGGGAGCTGGTGCATTTGGTTATTTTGAAGTTACTCATGATATTACAAAGTACTGTGGTGCTAAAATCTTTGAGAAAGTCGGAAAACGTACAGTAAGTAGATCTTTAAGACACTCGAATAATGATTTTAAAATCTGACAAAACAATTTCTAATCCACAGCCAATTGCTGTAAGATTTTCTACTGTCGGTAAGTATGCTTCATGTAATTTATCATGACTAATTGATTTATTAACGAAATTATAATCATGTAGGTGGTGAAAGTGGCTCAGCCGACACAGTTCGTGATCCTCGTGGTTTCGCTGTCAAATTTTATACTGATGATGGTGTTTGGGATTTGGTTGGCAACAACACACCAATTTTTTTCATCCGTAAGAATTTCTCAATTTCTTGTTGCTAATTTTTGTTAATGATACACACTATTTGCCTCATTTTCAGGTGATCCTATCCTTTTCCCAAGCTTCGTTCACACTCAAAAGAGAAATCCACAAACTCACTTGAAAGACCCTGATATGTTCTGGGATTTTGTTACATTGAGACCAGAATCAACACATCAAATCATGTACTTGTTCGGTGATCGAGGCATTCCAAATGGTTATCGCTACATGAATGGGTAAGCATGAATTGATTTATGCGTAGAATAATTAAATTAATGTTCATGTCCATAATAGTTTTGGTTCACACACATTCAAAATGGTTAATGAGAAGGGCGAGGCTGTTTATTGTAAATTCCATTACAAGACTGCACAAGGAATTCAAAACTTGGATGTTAAGAAAGCTGATGACTTGTCAGGATCAGATCCAGATTATTCCATTCGTGATCTTTATGATGCAATTGCTCGTGGTGATCATCCAGTTTATAATATGTTCATTCAAGTGATGACTTTTGATGAAGCTGAACGATACAAGTGGAATCCATTTGATGTTACAAAAGTTTGGTCACACAAAGACTATCCATTGATTCCAGTTGGTCGTTTGGTGCTCGATAGAAATCCCAACAATTATTTCGCTGAAGTTGAACAAATTGCATTCTGTCCATCACATTTGGTACCTGGAATTGAAGCATCACCTGATAAAATGTTACAAGGCCGTCTCTTCTCATACACTGATACACATCGTCATCGTTTGGGTGCTAATTACTTACAATTGCCTGTTAATTGTCCATATCGCGTTAGTGTAAAGAACTTCCAACGTGATGGACCATTGTGCTTTAATGACAACCAAGGTGGTGCACCAAATTATTATCCAAACAGTTTCGGAGGACCTGAACCATCACAACGCACAAGAGACTTGCAAGGACCATACAAATTATCAGGTGAAGTTTACCGTTATGACAGTGGAGATGAAGATAATTTCAGCCAACCTGCTCTATTCTGGAATAATGTCTTGGATGATGCTGCAAGAAAACGTCTCGTCTCAAATATCGCTGGTCACATTGTTAATGCTAAGGAATTCATCCAAGAACGTGCAATCAAAAACTTCTCACAAGTGTCTGATGTATTTGGTCAGCAATTGAGAGAAGCAATCAACTTGAAGAGATCAGCCAAGATGTAAACTTTGTACTGGAAATGATTTTGCTTAATGATTTTTAATTTTTTTTTATGTTATATTCTGGGATTATGCATTATTATAACTGGGATACTTTTTCTATTTTAATCGTCTATGAATTTTAAAAGACATTAGTGGAATTATGGAATAGAAATTCAATAAAAAATTTAATCCATTTTCACTTTTTCATAAAATGCAAAATTTTATTTCCCTTCAAATTTTATTTAAATTTAAACTGCCGCATTTTTGTTTTTCAGATCTAAGTCTTTTTATGTAGAAACAGAAATTTTTCAATTTATAAGGAATTTGTATAAATATGTTTTGTTTGTTTGCTGATAATAGGGACTTAGTAATTATTGGGTTTTGTTCCCCTCTTTTTAGTAATTTTTCCTAATGCTTGAAGCAGAGCTTGAAGTCGATAGGGTTCGAGTCGACTCGAGTTGATAGCAGATACACAGAAACCCACCCTAGGAAAAATTCAAGTGTCTCTATAAATTTATATCAATTAATATAAGCAACATATAACAAATTAAGGTAGATTTGAGACTTTTTAGAAACCCTTTAAAATCTTGAAAATGTCGATTATTACCAATTATTGTTTCATGAATCATAAAAGATTGAGAATAACTGATCAAGAAAGCAGCAAGCAGATCATGGAGCGAATATGATAAAGTTAAAAAGAAATCTGATACAGAATCAAATGTAAGCTTTTTGAGGAAAAAAGTTTTAAAAGGAAATAAAAAATTGAAACAAAAATGTATCAACCTGAAAATAATAGAAAAGCTGATATAACTTAAAGGGGCAGACTTTTTTTTCTAGTTGACAAAATAAATTTTTTTAACGGACTGAAAGCAATTGATGGAGAATTATAACCAAGGGTGTGGTTCTGATGAAATGATCAAAAATAATCAAATGCAATTTATCAGTCCCTTAACCTTGATTATAACGAAATTATATTTTGATTGCGTTTTTTGATTGGCTTATTTTTTATAAAAGCAAATTCTGTTAATTATATTTTTGGTAATAAATTTAATGAATAAAGGTTAAGAGTAGTTAAAATAATTACAGAACTTTTTTAAATTGGTGAATGAAACCTTTAATTTCGTGACAATTCCAACAAAATATATTTTTCTTCAAAAAATTTTTCTCGATAGCGAAAAACGCTTTCAATCCTCAAGTCATTTTTCGCACCATTTTAATAAAATAACGATCCCTTAACAAGCTTAATTAAAATTAAAAAAAAAATGTCCAAAAATTTCAATTTAAAAAATTTGTCGCAGAATTACCAAACAATATAAAATAGTTAAGCAGTCGAATAGGTAAGGCGCTTGGCTCAAATTTGGTATGGTAAGGTTCGAGGTCGTCGGTTCGAATCCAGCCATTTCCAAATTTGTTCTTTTTCAGAAGTTTAGATACTTCGACTGCTTAATGTACGAGATCAAGCCATAATTGGGCATTTTGGGCAACGTTGGATTAAGGAACGGGTCAGGAACTTGAAGTGTAGCGGGAGAAATAGGAACGAGAGCTACAAGATTTCCCACGAATGGAATATTGTCTGAACGTACCTGAAATGTATCACGTCACGCCCACAGAAGATTGAAACGAGAGCCTGAATTTAATCGAAACCTAGATTTGAAGATTAGAAGTTCGATTCTACGTCACCCATAGTGATATGAAATGTATCACTAATCAATGTAAAAAGTAAAACATGTATAAATACTAATTCTTCCGGACGGTAACGTCGACAAATAAATAATAATAATAATAATAGTGTCTCCTCAAAAGCGTGAATGTAACTTATTTACTAAAAACGCAATGAAAGCTCGATCAGAAAGAGAGAAGGATTGCACCTTATCATTCTTACAATCTATAAATTCACTGTTAAAACGTTCCAATTCATCATTCATTTCAAAGATTCAGTAGAAATAACAAGAATTTAAAAAAACAAATAAAATAAAAAAATGTCCGCTCAGTGCCAATTAAGAGAATTTAAGGACCAGCAAAAGGTATTATATTTATTTTTTTTTTTTTTTGAGGGGTAAATGGTTAAAAGCGTAGTCGTTGTGAACCTGAAGCTTTGGATAGTGTTTTAATTTAAGGCAGGCGGAATTCATACGGAATTGATGTGAATTAGTGCGATTAGTGAATGGGTGTTAAATTGACTTTCTACAAAGGGTGATAGATTTTTTTTTACAAAAGGAAGCAAATTTTGATGATTTTTTAAACGGAGGGAGTTCTATGAATACATCAACAAGTATAGGCTAACAAAACTAGGCTTTTGCTTGGACTAGAATGCTTCAAAAATTCACAATTTTAAAAGTCAATTTTTTTGATTTCTGAGTTTAAAGAGAGTAAGAGTAAATAAAGCTTTGGTAAAATAAATAATTTTAATGTCTCATAACCCTTTTTATGATAAGATAATGACAAATTTATTGTTTATTAAGAATCAGCAATATTTGGTAGTATTTTTGAAAAACTCATGAAGTCTTTTGATATACTTTTTATAATCTTATCTACACATGCTACATAAATATTTTCACTTTTCATGTTTAAGACAAATGTCCTGGGGGGTCCTCGATTTGAGGAGGTGTTTCGTTCCAGAAAAATCCTATTCAAATCGAATCTACTCAAATCAAGAACACATAGTATAAATTTCATTTTTTATGCCAATTTAAGAATGGAATAATTTCGCATAACAAATAATTTAAATTAATTCGCAATTTTTTGAAAGAAAAGAACGAAGCGTTGTTTTTTGGACAATGATTCCTGGCAGTTGCTTATCAGATCAAAGAGTTAATAATTTTTAAAACACGTGCAACACAATCAACGAATGATAAAAGTCCAACACCTTAGAACAAAGTTTAGATATGATTTTCATGTTTTCCTATTTTCTTGGGATGTAAGGACAAATGGGAAGATTTGTATTAAGAAATGGTGCTCCGATTTCATACAAGTGAAACTTACCAGCTCAAACCTTTTATGAAAATAGGAAAATTGTTTTGCATAAATTATAAGCTTTAGTGATTGCTAATTTTAAAACCCCATTAATCCTACCTTAAACTTACTTCTTATCAGAACAATTAAATTAGTATCTAAAACTGGCTACGACAGAACAGTAAGCTGTTTTAATTTGATTCATTGATAACATAGATTAAGTGAAATTATTTTTCCATAAATAGTTGAAAGGAACAAAAATAGACCGACATTTGCTAAAAATAACTTTATTGGGAATAAAAATAAATTTTTTCAAGATAAACTTTTGTATGCGCGTTTTCGAAATAAAGTTACTTGATCCTGCTGGATTTGATTGTTATTTATAACTTTTATATGATAAGGAATAAAGAATACAAAGCTTTTATGGAACTTTATTACCAATATGGATATTCGCATTTTTTTATCTTATCAAAATAGAAAATTTACTACAATTAAATAAATCTACTATTAATAGGATGGTGCTGGAGTCGCAACTTTATCATCTGGTGCTCCAGTTGCAGAAATATCATCTGTTCAAACTGTTGGAAAATGTGGACCAATGCTTTTACAAGATGTCAATTATATCGATGAAGTCGCACACTTTGATCGAGAGAGAATTCCTGAGAGAGTTGTTCATGCTAAGGTAAGATTTAAATGTCAACAAATTGCGAACGTAATGAACATCTGTCAATTAATCCTGTTGTTTTCACTTGTTGTTATTTGAACTTTGATTGAATCTAAAACCTAGAAATACGCATTAAACTTTAATAACGCACAAAACAATAAGCTTAAGCTTTGCAATTCTATTTTTACCTGTTAACGGAATTATTTGTTAATAATATAACAAAGGTCTTAAAGGAGATTATTAGAAGGTTGATAAGGATATATTTACACCTTGTTTATTTCTAAAAATACTTTAAAATATAATTCAGATAATTAACATTTCAATTTCATTTAATCTCATAATTTAGGGTGCGGGTGCATTTGGATATTTCCAAGTAACTCATGATATTACAAAATACTGTGCTGCAAAGCTCTTTGACACAGTTGGAAAGCGTACAGTAAGTTGCACTTTATTTTATAATGTATCCTCAACCTAATAGCATTTAATATTTGCTAGCCTATTGCTGTAAGATTTTCAACAGTCGGTAAGTTAATTCTTTTAATTCCATAAGTTTTTGACATTAATTTGAGACTATTTAGCTCGTGAAAGTGGTTCATCTGATACAGTTCGTGATCTTCGTGGTTTTGCTGTCAAATTCTACACTGAAGATGGCAATTGGGATATAGTTGGAAACAACAGTCCAATTTTCTTCATCCGTAAGATTTCTTGACAATCCTTTAATACGTGATTTGATTTTAATTTATTTAATTCTTTTTATCCAAGGCGATCCAATCCTTTTCCCACCTTTGATGCACACTAGGGTAATTTTGAACGACTTTAAGATTTTCAGAATCACATTATTTTAATGTCAATTGACAATTTATAGAGAAATCCACAAACTCACTTGAAAGATGCTAGTGCCTTCTGGGATTTCAATACTTTGAGACCCGAGACAACTCATCAACTCATGCACATGTTCGGAGATCGTGGTATTCCAAACGGTTATCGCTTCATGCATGGGTAAGCATAATACACAATGATAAACATAGTTGCGTGTACAGTATAAAGCATAACAATTCTTCATGTTCAAAATAGTTATGGTTCACACACTTTTAAACTGGTCAATTGCAAGGGTGAAGCTGTCTATTGTAAGTTCCACTACAAGAGTGCACAAGGAGTTCAAAACTTGGACGTAGAAACAGCAAATTACTTGCAATATTATGATACTGATTACGCAATTCGTGATTTATATGATGCTATTGCACGTGGTGATTATCCAGCCTACAACATGTCCATTCAAGTAATGACTTTTGAAGAAGCTGAGAATTGCAAATGGAATCCATTTGATTTGACTAAAGTTTGGCCACAAAAGATGTTCCCATTGATTCCAGTTGGTCGATTAGTTTTTGATAGAAACCCAACAAATTACTTCGCAGAAGTTGAACAAATGGCACTTTCTCCAGCGAATATGGTTCCTGGAATTGAACCGTCACCTGACAAAATGTTGCAAGGACGTCTGTTTTCATATGGTGACACTCAACGTCATCGTTTAGGTGCTAATTTCATGCAATTACCTGTCAATGCTCCGAAAGGAGTCTGCGTTAAAAATTATCATAGAGATGGACCAATGCACTTTAATGATAATCAAAAAGGAGCACCAAATTATTATCCAAACAGCTATGGTGGTCCTGAACCATCACAACGTGCACGTGACTTACAAGGACCATACAAAGTTACAGGAGATGTTCATCGTTATGACAGTGGAGATGAAGACAATTTTAGTCAAGCAGCCGTCTTTTGGAATAAAATTTTGGATGATGCTGCCAAGAAACGTCTTGTTATAAATATGGCTATGCATGTCGTTAATGCTGAAGAATTTATCCAAGAACGTGTAATCAACATGTTTGCTCAAGTTAGTCCTGATTTAGGTGAATGTTTGAGAGCCGAACTTAACTTGAGAAAACCTGCCAAGATGTAAAATTTGCAGATTATTTTTATTTTTGAACAAGGCTTTTGTCGTCAACTTTATTAGGGTGTTTCTTAAAAGAATATTTTTTTAAAATGTTCAAAACTTTAATGCTCAATTAATTTTTTTTTTGAGTACTAAAGTCTTGAACCTTTTTAAAAAAAAATCCAAATTTTTGATGTAGCTTCTCTAATGTGGTGAGCAGGTAGAACTGATAATATAAATCATATAAAACATTCTTCTTTTAAGAAACACCCTCGATAATTATTTTCATTAATCCCCTTATTCCAAGTTTTAACTTTAACTTGAAATCCTTATTATTATCTAAAAGGAATAGCTCCAATTTCCTACCCTATATATTACACACTATAAATGTACCTTTTGTTGTAAACAAAGAAACAAAACCAGGTCTTAAACACCAGCAAATGCCTTGAGTTGTAAGACTGGCTTATAAATGTTACAATTAATTCTATTATTAAACTTCAGATACAGTCGACAAAAGCCTTTGTTTCAAAGACATACTTATTTTTAGGTCACTATGTAAGATATTGTTGAAAACACTAAGAATTTTATCCGACTACACATTTTAACTCAATTTATAGCACAAAAAGTTATTCAATAAAGTACCTAATTTTTTTTTACTTTTATATAAAAAAATAGTTTTTTATTGTAATTAAATAACTAAAGGAAGGACTTTCCTTAATCGTTTATGTATAAAAAGGCAATTGATATCCTTATCTAAGACTTTAAAATTCTTCAAATTACATACAAAAAAAAATATTACAAAAATAAAAAGTTTAAATGCACTTTTGAGAGCTGTAGAATGATCAATATAAATAAATTAATTTTTCTGTTGCTGCTGCCGATACTTTTCGCTGTACTTGTAAAAATCTGATATCTCATAACTTTTTATCTCCTCCTTATAAGGCTTCCACGATCCCTCTTGAATTATTGTCACATTAACAGGAGATTCAACTTGCAATGGCGATTGGATATGCTGAGTATGTGGAGAATTTATTGTGTTCATGATATTATTCTCGAAATCTCTATTTGACATTGTTGATCGTGTTGATTCAGAATATCTAAGTTTGGATTTGGGTGGAAGATTTGGCACATTTGCCAATGGATTGTTATAGTATCCATTTTCAGGCTGTTGCGGCTGACTTCTTATCGAATTAGTGTCGACATTATTGTTATTATTATTTATACTATTATTGCTAGCATATTGAGTCTGTAGTGGAAGATGTCTAATGATAGGTTTTGTGGACGGCGGGGTATTCTCGTAATATTGATGATTATTATTTATATAATCTGCAGCACTATAACTACTCGGTGTTGGAGATTCAATTCTAGGCTTCATTTTTCTAGATCCTGGCGGACTATCAAGTGATGTTTCACACCTATAAAGCAAGTCAGTAATTATTTAGAATGAAAGTGTGAAAATGCAATAATCCCGAACATACAAAGAGCATGCACAAAAAAGTGAGCATATAAGTGAGTCTACTCAAAAATTATACTCATGCAAGCTCATTCAACTGAGCATGCTCAGGAGTTCATTACGAATGTACTCATTTTATTTTTTTGCAAAAAATTTATGAGCTCACGTGAGTACATTCAACGAGTGTACTCATGAGAATATTAAGAACATACTTATTTGACTAAACGCATTCTAAGTTTAATTTTAAGTTGGTCGACATTTTTCAAAAAATGTCGACTTGCATAAAAATGTATTCTTTGTTCGATTTTAAGTTGGTCGACGTATTGAAAATGTCGACTTGCATAAAAATGTATTCTTTGTTCGATTTAAGTTGGTCGACATTTTAAAAAATGTCGACTTACATAAAAATGTGTTCTAAGTTTAATTTTAAGTTGGTCGACATTTTTCATAATATGTTCTCACGATCGTGCTCTGATCCACTCAAATATTTCATAAAAATATAGTTCAATTAAGCAGTGTATCAAACTTCAAAGAACTTAGTTTGCCTGTAATCATATAATAATTTAAGTATGTGTTTTGCCATATAAAAATTATTATATATTTACAGAAAATTACTCCAAGGAAAAGTGTGAGGTGATAGAAGTTAAGCAACGCAATAGGTTTTTGTACAAGGATGGGTGACCGGTTTTTAAAACTTCCTTCTTAAGTATTTCAGATAAAATGTTAATAATAATTTCTAAACATTCATTCATGAATTTTGTGACTTTAACTGATTACACTCATGCATGTGCTCAGATGAGCATATACTCATAAATAAACTCACTGAGCATATATCTTTTGAGTATCTTCATGAGTATAAGCTCTTTGAGTATGTTTATGAGTATATGCTCTTTGAGAATGTTCATAAGTATATTCAATAAAAAATGTTGCATTAAAAAAATGTTGCGTGTGGCATGTTGCCTTCTCATTTGAGTATGCTCATGAGTTTACTCAGTGAGCTTAATGCATGTCACATAGGAATGTGCTCACTGAGCATACTCAAAATGGTACCGTGATCGCATCACTTTAATGTATGAAATAAGCACATTCTCACAAAAGTTTGCAAGCTCACAAATAATGTGCTCTGAGTATACTCATTGTATGTTCGGGAATCGTTTCTTACCAAATCTTTTCCTTCTTCTTATGCTCATTGCTGTTTCCAGATGAAACACTAAGTGCATCTGGTTGTGGATTCTCATCACTTTTGTGTATAAAGTCGAAGTTCCCGAGAGAATTTGATTTCTTGGCCTAGATTAGAGCAAAATAAAAATTATTTTGATAAGCACATTTAGAGCTTCAGGTCAAAAGAGCAACAGACATTATTTTTTTGGCATCTGAGACAATTTGACTCTAATTTGTAAAATTTACTGCGATTCGGATTCTCAATGTCATAACAAAAGTCATAAACTCACCATATTACTATTTTGGTTCGGTGGACTTAACGGATACTTTGATTCAGACACCCATACTCTCTGGTTATGCTCATTAACCATCCAATAACCACCTAAGCCAGCCGAGTGTGAAACCGTATAATGATTTGGACTCGCTTGATATTTTGGAAGTTGTTTGAGTCTGACATCATCATTTAATGAGTTTCCTATTAAATAATTCTTATCGCTTTGCATCTGATGATTAAAACTGTGCAATCGTTGTATGAATTTATGTTCATTTGGTGGAATATGTTGCCGTGTAGGTAAAGTATGTTGCTGTGATTGTTGTGGTGGTGTTGGCTGCTGCTGATATATGAAACTTTGATTATTTTGTACATTATAGAATTGCGGAGAATGTTGTGGTTGTGATTGCAGCTGCGGTGAATATTGTGCATGAATATTATGATGATAGGACTGAATATTTGGAGAATGATTTTCGGTGTTAATTTTAATATTCTTTAAACTTTGACTACATAGAGGAAGCTGATGGTTAATTTGAACTGTCGGCGGATGTTGCATGGACATTGTTGATGGAGTTGGTGACTCGCTATTTTTATGAATTTCAAATTCATAACGTCCATCTTGTCGAGTTCGTGGTGAATGTGCCATTGGATTATTTGGCAATGTCTTAAGTGATGTAAGGGATGTCGCCGATGATGGTGATGATTGAATATGAATAAAGGTATTATTGGAAGAGCCTAGTGAGGAAGTCGTTGATTTCATAGAATTTCGTCTTTCAGACATCATCAAAGTATTTGCTGTATTTAACATGTGCAAATTTCTTGCATTATTTCCACACATTGCTAGTGCATTTTTCATAAATCTATTATCACTTCTATGTAAATCAATGTCATCTTGGGCTTTCATGTTAGTCATTGTAGGATACACATTCATATCATGCCTTTGTAAAGCGTTAATATTCTCATTTAATTGTTCAATCTTTTGTAAAGACATATCATATGCATGCTTATGAGTACGTCTTATTGATTTTGATTGCATTGGATCATTAATGATACTCAGAGATGTCTGTGATAGTTGTTGATGCTTTTGTTTTTCAATTAGTAATTTATTGATTTCATTTTGATGAAGATTATTATTATTGCCATTGAGTTGGTTACTATTGCGATATTGGGGAACTGCAATTTGTTGCTGCGGCTGATGTGATGATGAGTTTGCACTGGTATTTGGATTCATGAGATCTAAATTATTGTCAATCAAACTAGCCTCCTAAAAAATAAGAATCATCGATAAGAAGAAGTGTAAAGAAATAATAATAAAATGAAAGCGAAAACATTTCTGAATAATAACTAAGTCATTGAGCCAATAAATATGGATGTAAGAAGAAGGAAATTTTGATTTCATCATTTTAGGTTTATTCAGCATTGAAACATTTTTCGAAAAAAAATTCTTTTTATGCAATCGGATGTTCACGCAACTCTACCTTTTGACATATCTGATGTAATTGCTCATATCTCTCATTTAATTGCTTCTCTAAAGCAGCCTTCTTTTGTACTAGTTGCTGATAACGACTGGTCTTGTCTTCATGCAACTCCTCTGATTTTGTTGTTGTTGTAATTGATGTAGACATTTTTCTATTCTTTAATTTATGACCTTTTTCCTTCTCTCATTCGTTAATTATTGATTTATTTCATTATTGTCACAAGTGAATCACAAATTTAAGTCAACAAATATCATTTTTTGTTAGATTTTAAACATTTTTGAGAATTATTTTCTTTAAAACATCGCCCTATATAAGAATTTCCATAATATCCACAATTTATCGACAATTTATGCAACACAAATATCTTTAAAATGTTCTGAGTATGATTAAAAACAAGATGATGTTAAAAGAACCGAAATAAAGACACAAATGAACTCAAAATAATTAAAAAATAAAATTTTTGTTAATATATAAAAAAATCATAAAATGCAATACTAAGTTAACACCTAAGATTGTATGTGTAAGTGCTAAATTCTTGTTGTTTTTGTCGATGAAACACGTAACATGTACGCGTAGCATAAAACTTTAGAACATAAAATTTCAAATTATTTCTGACCGTTAAACACATCCGAATGCATCAAGTTATGCTCGATAGATATCCATATGGCACAGATACATTTTTTTTGGATTTATTTATTTTACCAAAAAAAATTCGTTTTCAATACTTTACAAAAAAAAAATAAAAAATTCGAGGGTAAAACCATAATGATCAGAGAAAATAAAGGAAACACCTTCACACTGCTTCACACGATCATATGCAACGCAAAATGATAAATAATTCCCCTTTATACGTTCACCGTTACACTTGACTGAATCAATGCTGCTGTCCACCTGCACAAAAATACAAATAAATGTAGGCAATCGTAGGCTAAATAATGGAGAAAAGTATGTTAAAATTACATATGTACCTATAAACAACAAGAACAATATAAAAAAGTATATGAAGCACGAAGGGGTAATGGAACAATATAGAATTTATGTCACGTGAGAACATTTCCATAATTAACTATATGGAAGTAGAACTAGCTTATGAATGTGCTACCTCACTTACAAATCAACTAATTATGACGTCACAATGTCCATTTTTTTACCCACGAATATCCTTTTTCAATACATTTTCACTATTTTTTCATTGCGCGTCTAGTAATGGTCGTGGAAAGTTTTTGAAGCTCAAAATTTTTTTTATTGCTCAAAAATCTTAAAACCTTTTTTTTTTGTTTCAACCAAAGTTCATCTTAATAGTATTAAAAAGTTTTGTGATTTAACTTTGGAAAAGTTTGGAATGAAAATTTTCGCGATCGATTGAAAAAAAAATTGCAAAAGAAGCTTCAAGAAAGTTTAAAAGGAAATTAATCTCCTTGGTGGACTAAAATTGGAATATGTGAATGTTTAAAAAATAGTTTAAGTGCCTTTGTAAAAGGAATTGATAAGCCTTGAATAAAATCTTTGCAATAAATTTACTTTGTCTTTTTTTGAAAAAAAAGTAAGCCTTAAGAACGTGTGACACAAAAATTTTCCTTTGTAAAAATGATGATGGCGTCTGATGATAAAGCGAACTGCGTACTGAATTATTTCACATTTGAAATATCAAATCTTACAAATCATTCGACACAAAGTTTGCCAATTTATGAAATTATAGCTGATACACAAAATGGTCATATACAGATTATGAATCCTGAGAATTTTATCACAAATTCAGCGATCAATACTCAAATGTCAATAGACAATGACATAAATCAAACAGATGATGAATCAGACGATTACGATAATAGTAAAAATAATGAAAGTAATGTCAATATAATAGAAAGTTTAATTATAACCAATGCAAGTTCACAAGATCAAGATTATTCAGCTAATGAATGTGAGACTCAGTCAGAGAATTGCGATGATCTAATCGATGAGGATGAGAATGATGAGAATAATAATGAGAACGAGGATGAATCTGATGATCTTGAGGATCTTACAAATCTTAATTGGCTGACTGAACTTAAAAATATTACAAACTTACCGCCAGCTGCAAATGATATTAATGAAAAACCGTGCGATCCACCTTCACAGAGATTTGATAAATTCATTTCACAAGTCAATAAAATGAGAGAAAATTATGAAAAGCGAAGATTCCTTTATGAAACTGTGACGAGTGAAAAGCCACCATTCAATTATGCACAAATTATTGGAATGGCATTAATCGATGAAGGACGTATGACACTTAAGCAGATTTGTGATTGGATCGAGAAGAAATTTGCATATTATAAATTTCATAGAAATTGGAATGTAAGTATTGATATTAGTGATGGATGTTTCTTTAATATTCCTTAGCTTTTAGATATTAGACTAAGATATATGATTAGTGCATTGATGTCTATCAAAACTGTATAAGCAGTTTAAAATATGTTACGAGGTTATTTAAGCATGCTCAAAATTGATCACGTTACTAATTCCTTATTCTATAAAAAAGGCATGCAGTCTAGCATACAATTTTTTATAAAAATCATATAATTATGATGATAGCTGACATATCTCTGCAGACCCTAATGGTGTAATAACGACACTTTTAATCTTTCTAAAAATGACTGTGCAGCTTTAAAGTGTGCAGATGTTATTTGATCAAAACTGTTTGTGCTTGCTGTGCTTGAAATAACATGATAAAAATTATACGGCCTGTTTCACTAAAGTGGATTATCCTCGATTTCGGATTATCCACTTCAGTTTTTTGTAAATATCTTAAACTTTATGGGAGGTGTGGTATGCCTGAAATTTTTGTAGACTTTAAACTTTTACTTTTCGTTAAGAACTATCAATTATTCAATTTTCTAGCCAAATCTAGTAGATAACCTTCGATTTTTGCTATAATTCTCAAACGAATGAAGATATAAAAATTCTAAGTATATGTTAATTTAAGTAGCAAAGTACTCTTACTAGATCACACATTAGATCTCTTAATGACCTTAAGCGTCTGGAGATATTTCCAAAAAACTGAAGGGGATAATCCGAAATCGAGGATAATCCACTTTAGTGAAACATGCCGATAGGATTTTTTTATAAATTAAAAATGCTAATTTTTCATGAGATTCATTCCCGAGAATCCATAACCTTAAAAATATTCAAATTTGAAAATTCATGTGAATGATTGAGTCTTTGTCATGATGTTCGTAAAAACTGTATTGATCAACATTGTGTGCTATGAAATATTGCACAAAAATTTCTAAAATCTTATACTTAGTGACTCCCAAGTTTATTCATTCCGATCAATTCTCTAAAAAAATTTCAAGATTAAAAGAGTTAATCAGTAACAAGTCCACTTAATGTCCTTAAATGTAAATCAACTGTTTTCAATGTCTTATCATCAGAACACAATGTAAAATTTGCAATAAAAAATTGGATTTGCAAAATAAAGAAAAACAAGCAGTGATAAGCAGTTTATCTTTTATGATTAATAGCAAAAACTGCTGCAAAGGCAAAAAAGCTTATTAAAACATATATGATGCCGTTTACATTTAAATTTTGAATGAGAGAATAAAAAATATGCGAAGTACACACATTTTTTATCCATTAAAGCATATAATTTTCTTCTTATTGTGTTTTTTATGATGTAAATTTTCGATCTACTGCAAAATGGTCTATGCTGATTTTTTTTTTGTGTTGATGATAAATGTAAAAGGGATATAAATGAATTTACATCTCGACATATTGTCTGAAATGTTGAGTATTTGAGAGTTGCATAGAGTTGTGAATAATTCCTTAAAATACAATAAGGGGTCGTTCACTTATGACGTCCATCAAAAAACCTGACTTTTAAACCCCCCTCCCCCGCCTCTGTCACAAAAATTATATAGAAAAAATTTTTCATTGTTTGTTACAAAATCCAAAAAATTTTTTTGTATGGACGGTTATTTTTTGCTCAAAAGTCTTTTTTCCTTGATTTTGGGCTATACCCCTCTCTTTCGACCAATTTTTGTTCAGAATGTACTTATCAAAAAGAAGATATACTTAACAAGATTATAAACTGAAATTGGTTCCATACTAAAGGCAGGTGTTTAAAGTTTAAACAATAATTTTTCGAATGCAAAATCCTGCAATTGATTTTTTGAGCAACCAAAATTGTTGAACAAATTGATCCTCTGAGCATAATAATTTCAATGAATTTAAATGACGGTAAATGACCAAATAATAAGCAACTTTACAGTCATTTAAATTGAATTTTACAAATTCATAATATGATTTTGCACTTGGGACAAAACCTTTTTTCAAATTTGATCTGCAAAAAAGAAATAAAGAAAACACGAAGTATCATTGTCAGGTACTGAGTCGTGATGACATGATAATTTTAAAATTTAATTATCTCAGAGGTTTAGAGCATAAAAAGAATTGTCGTTTGCAGACTATCATTAATTTATGAAAGACTCTTAAGATGAGGTGATTGAATGGCACAAAAACTTAAAAGCCTAGACACTTTTCGCATTAACCAGCCTCAAAAGTTTTGACATTGCCCATCTTCATCATGTAGAAATGAAATTTATAAAGATTGAAAATATTAATAAAAATTCTTTTATTTTTAGAATTCAATACGTCACAACCTATCACTGAACTTCTTCTTTACAAAAGTGGCACGCGATAAAAATGAAAAAGGCAAAGGCGGATATTGGGAATTGGCGGTTGATGTTCACAAAACAGCACGAAAACGCATCCGGCATCGTCGGAAGAAAATCGGTGATATGCAATTCCAGTCATCAACCACAAAAACAAATTCATTTAACCGTAATGGACGTTCGTTGAGATCAAGAATAAATTCAAGGAAGGAATCATCGCCGTTCAACGAGATGTCGGTAAAGTCTGTAGGCAGTAGCAATGTTTCGGATTTCATAAGCAGTCCCTCGAATATTAATGAAGATTCAAATCCGTCAATGGAGGAGCAGAACGTGACTGAAATAGAGATTGTTGAGGAGCAACAGAACATTAACAATATCATTGATGATAATCAGAACGCAATCATTATTCCAAATCCGACACTTTATGATAGTCCAAATGTCATTGTTGAGGCAATTCCAACCTATCAATTTAATCAATTTAATCATATTGAGAATTTCGATGAAAACGAATTGAACCAATTAATTTGCATGAATGATCAAGAGCTGATTGATGATTTTCTCAATTTCAACAGTGGCAATGAGGAATTTTTGTAAAAAAAATAAGTATTGAGATCCATATTAAAACGAGAAAATCGCATCTGCTACTCACAAATTTCAAAATTCACTTTTTAATTCCCATTCCTTAGTTTTCTATCGTCGAAAATTGAATGAGACGATTGAACAATTTAAGGATGAAAAACTTTTCCCTCTCTTGTGCTCTCGAAAGTCCTTATGTGATTCAATCCGGACATTTTAATTAAATCTTGGAGAGAATCCATTTGAATGGAAAAGATTCACTTTGTGACAATTTTGATAATTAAAAAAATTCGCATGAGAAAATTTTTTTGCTCCTTTTTTCTTCGAAAATTTTTCAAATTAAAGACATGAAAAAACTTTTATGACAATTTGAATCCATTTTATGCTGAGAGAGGAAGAACTTTTTGGAATGAAAATTCTTTTGATACCCGAGATTTTATTTGAAAATAATAATTGAAATTGATTTGGGTTTAATAATGGAAAATTGAAAATTAAGGAAGGAATAAGAGCAACATTTTGATACTTGAATTGAAAATTTATGAGACGTGCATTTTAATATTGAAATAAGGCAATAGATCAGCATATATATTGTTTCTGGAATTGATGTGATGGAAATTTTTGCAGCATGTTGTGCAGTATTTGATGAAAAAGAAAATTCTGGGAAATTTAAAGCAACAACAATTTGTTTTATGTGAGCAATATTGCTGCCTGGATAGATAGGAAACACAACATAAAGCTCTTTTGAAAGTAAAATCACTTAATTTTCCAGAAATTCTAACAAAAATAATTTTAAATATTTTCAAAACCACGAATCAAGCACGTGGAAAGCTGAGGAATTATGGAATTCAAAGTTCCTCCTTCTCTTTTTCCAAAAATTCTTCAATTCGCTACATTTTCTTTACTTACTTCCTTGGCTGGGGCGCACGTGGGCACATTGCCACGTTTAAAGATCATCCGAAGACAGCTCTATTCTTAGAAACTTTCTGCCAGTTCGGGATATTAAGAACTTAAGCATCTTTTTGAACACATCCAATCCACGAGTTCTTCGGTCTTTCTCTTTTTCTCATTCAAACAATTATAAATGCTCCCTCGTAAAATTTATTTCCCTGATTTTCTGACGACATTTTGTGTTTCACACAAGAGTTCCTGTGTAGGATTTAATATTTGATTAGTCACCATGGAAAATCATCTTCCCAGAATTCTATTTCTTGAAGATTCCAAAAAATAATTATAATTATGACAAATACTCCTCCATCTGCTGCAATTATTAATATTTAAAGAATTTGAAAGATTTTTCTGTCTGCTCATAATTTGTAAAACTTAATTAAATTTTTTGTAAAAATTACTATAAACTAAGAGCATTAAATCAAAATTTATCATAACTAGTATTCATATTTATAAATTTAAGAAAATAATTATTAGATAATGAAAAGGCTCAAGACGAAAGATTAGGCTCAAATGAACGAATTGAAGGTTGAATTGTAAATGAAAAAAAAAAAAAATATGAATTTTACATAGGATATAGGAAATTTTTCGTTTGAATGTTAGAAAAAATATTTTGTAACTTTATCATCTAGTCATATTCATTTTACCTACCTTAAATATTTATCTTGTAATATTTATGAATTTTCAACAATATTTAATAATAATGATGAATATATTTGCACAATGAAATAGAGATTGACATGGGACTTATTGCCTTAATAGAAATGAAAAATTCATGCATAGAAAAAAAATTTTAAGAGATTTTTTATATTAATTATGGACAAATATAAGAAGCTCAAAAATGATGATCATCGAAAATTGTGGTCAAACAGCACCAAAACCTCCATACCTTAGCATTCGACATCATTTTTGAACCTCAAACTTAACTTTAAATTCTTTTAAAATAAATTTCGAGCAGCACTAAAAGCATTTAGTCAAGAAAACCAATAAAATCTTTGTGCTGCTCGTGTCTAACATCAAATCCTAACAAATATCACCATACAGTGTCTTTACAAAACAAATATTTGCAATATGCATAACTTTTACACTTCAATTAACCGAATGAAGCTCAAAGAAAATCCAGTCATAAAAACAAATCGTTAATACTGAATTATACTAGTCATTGTCTCAAAGTATATACATAAAAATATATTATATCTTATAGCTCAATTTCTCAATTTCTTTTATATAGTTTGCAATTGTTGTAATGAATTGAATCTAAAATGCACAATAAAAAAAAAGTCATATGAAATACGAAAAAAGATTAAGAAATTGGAGATGGTTCAATTAACCCAATTTTCAGAACTAAATCCTAATTTCTTACAGCTTATATGATAGCAGTTATTCCAACACACAGAAATGAACTAAGTTTCACACACTCAAACCCAAATCAAAACCATTCAAATGTGCCGGAAAAAATATGTAAACAACTATTAAGCACATGGTTAGTAAAAAAGCTGTAAAATGCATTTTGCAAATGTAACAAAAAGTGGGCATGCGTCAATAGCATAGCAGCATGCTTTCAAAGAGCATTTTATATCAAAACGTAAACACAACTGGCGAAGTCGATGAATGTTGTCACGATGAAAAGTCTAGAAGAAAGAAGAAAATGTAAAAGCTTTCAAGTCCACATGTGTCGAATGGTTCCATCAAAAAGCGTTGCTAGGAAGCGGAAGGAAAAAAATCACATGTTGGGGTAGAAGAAAACATAAAGTGCAAAAGAGGCAAATGACATAACAACAAAAAAAAACTTTCTTTTTCTTTCTCTAGGAAATGCTCAGTGCTCGTTTGAACGCCGTTGGAGAAGGTTGAGTGGGAAGAATTTTTTTTTGTGTACCTCATTAAAAAAGTATTTTTCAATTTGTATGACAAGTGGTGAAAAGAGGAAAAAGTTGACATTTAAAAATCAATGGATTACGTTTGAGGTTTCCTTCTATTTTCCGTACTTTCTATTTCTTCCATACAATTACTCATCCGTTTGCGGTATCCAAAATAGAAAATAATGTTTTTGTGTGTGCTGTCATTTTAAGTAAAGAGCTCTTGATAAATGTGATTAAAAAAATCGTTGAGTTGAAATTGAATTTACATAAAGCAATAAGAGATACGACAAATACACAGAGACTTTTTAACATTTAACTGGAGGCATAGATTGTGTAAAAAGACGGCAAAAAGTTTGTTTCTGTATGGAGTAAAATTTTTTTTTTAAATTAACAAGGAAGAAAAATAACAACAGCGAACGAGTGAGTGAGTGAACATTAGGAACATTGGACGAGAACTTTTTATAAAAATAACATTGCGTAATAGGATTTCTGTGCTATGGAACATCGGTATTTTGGTGGACCTGAGGATATTTTCACACATTTTGTTATCTCAAAAACATAATGCGAGTTTTATGCTCATAAATATTTTCCAAGAATAAATGAAATTGTTTTTTTTGAATAACGCTTTGAAGTTTGCTGAACTTTTAAAATTTATTGTGATCTAGCATGTCTTACAAACTTTGAAGCTCTTAGGGATCCTCGATAAACGACAAATCATAATTTCATAATCGTCAGTTTAAAAGCAAAAATACTCATGGATGTTAATAAAGTGGCGACTTTTCAACTGTGTAACTTCTACGATTTGTTCTAATAACACAAAAGTTTCAAGGTTGTCTGTCTTTAAGCTGAATCTATGACAAAATTGCCAAAGAGGTTTCCAAAACTTTGTTACAGCGTTTGTGTGTGATTTGACTATTTCAAACTTTTTATGTCACTCAAACTGGATAGATGATTGAATACAAATTTATTAGCTTTTTGTATACAATACAACCTTGGACATTTACGTTGCTTAAGTATTAAGAGGAAGTGAACAGGGATGTTACAGTACAAAGCAACATAGGTCTAAGAATATAACTTAGATTAGCGATATTTGAGAATAAGAAGTTGCTCTGGTTGATGAAATTTGTGAAAAAAAGCATAAGCAGAATGACAACCAGGGGCGTAGCCAGGAATTTGAAGAGGGGGGGGACAAAAAAATTTTTGTACGGAAAAATTTAAAGGGGGGGGGGGGGGTGATTTTGGCGATTTTTTCATAAAAACCCTAGCAAAATGAAGAAATTTCTGTTACTTTTACGGGTTTAAACCCCAAATCCCCCCCCCCCCCCCCCTCCCCTGACTACGCGCCTGATGACAACTTGAGTATAAATTCATTCTGGAATATTGTGTGTATAGATTCAGTTGTTCCATATACGTGGGACTTCTAATTGATTTGAACAACAAGTTTTAAAAGCTTTTAGATAAAGCTGCACCTCAAGTCCCCAAAAAAAATAATTCCAAGTACAGAAACTTCCCATTATTTTCAATTTATTTCTATGCTCGTTTTCCTCAGTCCAGTCTATCTATAAAGGAAAATATGAAAAAGGAGGGAAATCAATAAGCCCGCGTACAAACAACAAGAAACATAAATATATTTCCCACTCAATGTATGCTGTGGTGCTATTGTGAATACATATAATCTAAATATTATGTGCGGAGAAGGAAATAAATGTAAAGTGAGGCAGGCAATGAATGAAATGGCAAAATGTCGAAAGATTGAATAAATAAAAATTTATGCTCATAGTTCATCGTTATGATGCTTTCGTTTTTGTTTCTACGCTATCAGCAGTGCTTGTGAAAAGAAAGAGTCGTGAAAAAGTTATTGCAAAGGCACAAAAAGAAAGAGAATATTATCGTCTTCCTTCTTACTACTTTTCGCATCACACAAAAATATTCATGCAATCTAGTGTTCCTTCAATTGCTGTCTCTCTTCTAAAGAAAGTCTTCAGAATATCTTAATCATTGTTGTGCCCATAAATAAAGGCTATAAAATATATTTTTTTGATAGTCAAAATAAATCTCAGATATTCAGAAGAGATAGCGGAAGGAAGAAGAAAGAAAAAAAACAAAAAAAAAAAGCAAATTTCGCGAAACAAACGACTCAATAGTTTCTATCCATTGACTATCGAGACTATTGCCGTTGCCGATGCTTCTGCTGATAATATTATCTGACGACAGTTATTTCTGGTATTGCTGAAAAGCAATATATCTAATCGATAAGAATCCAGAATATAAAATAAAAAGAGCTGCGATTTCTGCTTGCTCGTGTATCATCTCAAACAGTGCGAAAGAAAATTGTGTAAAAGCTAAAAGGAATAATAAAAAAAAATCTCATTCTGAATAGAAAGAATAACAAAAATAATAACAATAATAACAAGACAAAAATATTCATAAATGAAATCTATCGTTGCTGCTTGGTTCCTTCTCTGTTTTGACTGTTTGGGAATTTTCGCACATCCGGAATATTACAAAATCGGTAAGATTTGCTTTCTTTTCACTTCCTTTTATTTTTTCCGCTCCTCTGATTGCAACTGACTCACTGTCTATATTACTAGCTGTGGGAATATTCTCAGATGACAATTTTTTAACTTTATTTTCCTTTTAACTTTTCAAACTTTTTCGTTTTTCATTGAGATTATGAGATTTTTTTCTCGGTCGTGTGGAAAATGCTGGGGGTCTATGTATTGTAATACTATAAACATGTTCGAATTTGATTTGATTTGGGATCGATTTAAAATACATTTTGACTTCTCTCTGTATTAAATTTTTAGGACTGTCACAAACTCAGAGATTCTCCCATTTCTCTTAAGTAGGGTTCGCCAAAAACATGCGCATGTATGCGCATGCATGCGCACGTAACATGCGCATGTATATCTGGGGAAAAAATTAAAACTTCTAATTTTTGCTGGATTCATTTCAATATGTCTCAATAATGATTATTTGGACACTTTTGATCGATTTAACACCAAATCTTGTGAGTAGGAGGTCAAATTAGAGGTGTTCTGATGTCGGAACCTGTCTTTTTAAGCAGTTTTAAAGCGAATTTCTACATTTTTAACATATTTTTAATGAAATTTTTGATAAATATGATAAAAGGATTAAAGTTATGGGCCATTCACTTATTACGTAACGCTTTTAGGGGGGGAGGGGGGTCTAAGATTTTGTTACGGTTCAAACAAGGAAATTTTTTTTTCATACAAATTTTGTTACGAGTGGGGGGGGGGTCTAAAAAGTCATGTTTTCACGTTACGTAATAAGTGAACAGCCCCTTAAATAAAAAGATTATTTTTGTAAAATTTGTTTTAAAAATTTTACATGCAGTACATGCGCATGCATGCGCATGTGGGCGAATCCCACTCTTAAGTAACTTGCTGGTTCAATTTTTTTACAGAAGATGAAGCCAAGCTTTGTCGACTTTAGCCAGTTTTGGTTTTGTTTGTTCAAATTATAGTGAATTTATTTAAGTCAGGGACTTCCAGTATTTTATCCACCCAAGAGTGAAATTTTCCTCAAATCCTTTGACAATTTTCCTCTTTCTTTTGTCATCAAGATATTATGTAAGTACGCTAGACCGAGAATTTTTTTTTTGACAACGTCTCAAGCTTATTTCCTCAATTTTCTTTTTAGTCTACGTTGAATGTCATGTGAGACTTTTTGTAGTATTTTAAATATTCATTATTCAATCCAAAAAAAATCATGCTTATTCAAATATTGCTCCATGAATATCAAATGTGACTTGATTCTAGAGCTTTTAAAAATTCATTCGGGAAACATGAGCTTTTCTTGTTTGATCAAAAATAGATTCTTTTTGAGACTGACTTTATTATTCAGAAATCTGTTTTCAGTGTCGCGAAAAATGAAACCAAATTGTTGAATATAAATAACAAGCATGTCATTGCTATAAATGTCAGCACCTACATAAAGCTCAATTGACATATTCTAAATTCAAAAATAATATCGTAATCAAGGAACTCACTCAAAGTGATGAAGTTTTATGAGGAATTACTAAAATTCATTCCTGCCTACAAAATGCGCCAAAACCACATTAGTCATAATTTTTTTTTAAACATCACAAACAAGAAAAGTTGAAGTTTATATGACATCTCTTAGGTAACTTCCTCCAACAACGCAAAGCTCCATGTCCCATATGTTTTATGAGATTTTTAAAAATTTGAGATAATAATTTCTAAAGAAATAAAGAAAAAAAAATGTTCACCCATCTTATGCCGCAAGGGAGTTTTCATTCTTTTCCATTTCCTTCATATTCCTTCTCTTCTTACCGCCATTCGATTCTTTTCTGCTCCATTTGTTCAAAAAGATGATGATTTGACTCACTTAACCATATCCATATGCTATCCATTTTTCATTGTCTTCTCTTCTTTTCTACTTTTTAAATCAATTTTTCAAGGGGCAATTTTTCGTGAGGACCAACGAGACAGCATTTATGACTTGGCTTTCAAATTTGCTGTTCACAAAATAAACAAAGATCCTCGAATACTGCCAAAAAGTTTGCTAACATATGACATCCAATATGTGGATAAAGACGATTCGTTTCATGCAAACAAACAAGGTTTGTACGATAATGATTTATGTCCCATTCATGGATGTACTGTCCTCCATATGTCTACTATGGTAAAAATAATTTTCACACAAAAAAGAAGAAGAATGAGCAGCAACAGCAGAAGAAAAAAAAACTTTTATTTCTTCTGTGACTTTTTATACTCTTTTTTGTGCTTTGTGATGTTGCTCATGACTATGATCTGATATTTTCTTTTTATTATTCCCCCTTTCATGTCTTCATGTCTCTCTATTATTATATATATATTTTAACTATCATGTGTGCCACCGACACTCACTATGAATTTGTTGGAATATATGAATGCATAAAAAGTTTGCTCACAAATCAAGAACGGATCAATTGCTATCATTTCATCAGACAAAAGTTTGTCCAATTATATTCAGTCGACTACTCGGGCATTAGGTAAATATTTATTATGTGACACTTTCAATTTCTGAGCCGATGATTTCCGTGCCAAGCAGTGTTGTTGTTTGTTTTTTTTCTTAAAGATTTATTCTAGTCTAGGTCAGATAAGATGTAAGTTGACAAAGAGTTGTAATGGATAAAATAGCAGCAAAAAATAGGTCAAGACTTGATTGATTAAGAAATGTATGTCACTTGCACTTGTAGATTTTAGTACTAATGCTAATTTGACAAGACTTATGTAAATTTTGCTTGAACTAATTGATTACATGCTTCATGATCCAGACTTTTACCGAAGCAAGAGGGTAAAGCGGTAATAAGTGACAATTTCCACGCAATTGATTCAGTCTGAGCTATAATATTCCTCTTCAAATCTTGGAATTCCAATTAACAACACTGCTGTCCAAAGCACATTATATACCAAACACATTATTTCAAAAAAAAATTATCGTAGATTTTTCTCTATGACTCTATGCTGCTCTAAATCAGTTTAGCGAATTAAATAATGTATAATCTGTATGCTCACATATGTGGATACATCTGTTGCTGATATTCATTTATCTTCATCTCGTTGTTTACTTCTTTTTTTCAATTTTTTTTTTCACTGTGCACATCCACAATGTGGTGTTCTAGACATACCACATATTCTAACGCACCTTGAAGTCGAGGAGAAACTTGAAACATCAATCAATGTTCATCCATCACAAAAGGTCCTTAATTCTGCATTTTTTGACATAATGAAATTTCTCAATTGGACGAAATGTGCTATAATTTATGATCAGAATAATGGTAAGTTGAAGGATTTATTCTCTTTCATGTTACGTCTCTATTGACGACAAATTGAAAACAATTAGCGGATGAAAGTTATTAATTTTCCCATATAACGAGATAAGACTCTGTCTGACATATTTCAAACATCATCTTTTATTAATTCATTCATTCATTCTTTTCTTCTTTGTCCGCTTACTTGACTTTTCATTCCATTCTCTTCTTTATCTTTACACTGATTTTATTTTTCATTGTTTTCTTTCTTTCTTACTTTTGTTCAGGTTTAATACAACTGCGTGACCTCCTGAGTCTTTCACTTGATATAGATATTCTTATAAAAGCTGTCGACAGTGCTTCTTATCACGCAATCTTACAAGAGCTAAAAGATAAAGAAATTTACAATATGATTGTGGACATTCACAAAACCGACAATATGGCTGACTTTTTGAAAGCTGTAAGTGACTTCATCTTTCTTTTCTCATTTCTCTTCATGCCATTTGATCAAGTCTTGATGCTTAATCTCTCTCCGATGGAATAAAGCAAGAAATTATGGAAAAAAGTATATGTGTGTATACAGCGAAGAGATGGGGTAGAGGGAACAGAACACGAGTGAGATTGCACGACTTGTGATAAACAGAAGGCATGAGGAGAGACGAGAAGGGAAAAAATTAATCACTTAAGTAGTCTAACTTCTTGCCAATTGTTTACATGCTTATAAAATAATATAGAGCCTGCATCACCAAATGAATGACTTCAAGTATCACTACTTGTTTACATCACTTGATTTGGAGACATTCGAGATGGAAGATTTTCGCTATAATTTCGTTAACATTACAGCGTTCCGTCTCATTGACACTAGTGATATTTTTCTTAAAGAGACATTAAAGGAAATGCAGCAATTTGGAAGACAACAAAACATTAGAGTAAAAAAAAACTTGGCATTTGAGGTAAGAATGAAACATTTCTCATTTCACTTAACTTGATTGTGTTTAGTTGTGCTTGTAAGAACAATGCGAATGAACAATGAACGAAAGAGAATGAGATGGAGAAGGGTATGTACATTTCTGCAGCATAAAGGGCTCGCTATGAACTTTAAATATGTATCATGTTATGCAATCTTTTTATTCAACTCTTTAGTAAGTCACTTTCTCAGTGTCTCTTACTACTTAAAACATAATTCTCAACCAATTTGTGAGCAAGTACTTGTGCTACTCATGGAATTTTTTATCCCATTTTAAAGGGTATTATTATCTGATAGTTGTTTGTCTGTCTGTCTAGTGATATCTGACAGTAACAAAATTTTAGTCCCTTCCCTCATCAAATTGAAGTCAGTTCCTTATAATTCCTTTATATATCCTGAATCATTGAATATGTTTATCATCCAATTACTACCCAGATATCTGGATGAGTCATAAATCTTCGAGTTTATGAAGATTATATCAATACAAAGACAAACTAGCTCTTTCCGAATCTTTTATTTAAGTGATACTTCTACCCTTAATATTCTCACCATTTTCTGTACATCGCCTATAATTTATGACCTATCTCAAATTTCATTTGCTCACACTCTCACGTAATTTTGTAATGTAACGACATGATTGTAGTCAAAACAATTTGTAATGCGAGACAAAATACTACGGAAATTTAAGAATTAAGTAGGAGGCATGGGTATTGTTTCTATCTTAAATAGTTTTAAAGCTTTATTGTCTATAAGAGTTTTTTTAACTTGAAACTAGCATAAGCTTAAAGTATGCTACAGCCTATTATGATCTTATCAACATTATGACCTTGGATTAACAAGGAACGATAGCAAAATCCTTTATATGAAGGAAGATGCGCTTATGACAGTTATAAGTTTCAACATTAGAACAGGGGCCCGTCAAAAATGAATTCTACGTCATCGGAGACCACTTTTAGTCATTTTTTGTGATTTTTTTCCATGAAACTGTATTTTTTTCTTTATTGGTATTATAGGATTCGCCGAGACAAAGAATTTGACACCATTATCGTTTTTCTAGCATGTCTAGTTCCTTCTGTAGAGCCATTTGAATATCCACCGATGACGTAGAATTTTCGGGAAAGGGTATTTTGAGTGTAAACAACCTTTAATAACTTCATTATTACCAGCTTAAATTTTAGTTTTTCTGTACAAAATTGTGCTATTTCTTCTATTGGTTCATTCAAATTATCATTTTTATCAATAAAATGATTGGAAGTTACTTAAATTAACACTTTAATTTTCAAAATCTTGTAACGAATATCATTTTTTTGAATTTTCTTATATGTTTTTAGTCAACAAAAAAATTCTATTTTTTCGAAAATTGCTGAAAACATAATTAAAACGTAATACAACTCATATTTAAATGTCGATAGTATGTTTCTAAGGTTCTATTTTGTGTTTTAAAAGAGATAAAGTTACAAATTCAAGAGTATTAATTAGATTTTCAGCTGATTAAAGTTTTGGTAATTTTGCTCGAAAATATGAGAAATTTTTGAATTTTATTAAACCGTTAAACTGAAATTCCTATTATTTTTGACGGGCCCCAACAATATTTTTAAACTAAAGACTGAAGAAGACACAAAAATGAATGAATGAATGAATGAGCAGCAAAGAATGAAAAATGGAATGGAAGTGCTTTCACAATAATTGATGCAATTTATATTACTTGTGTATCTATCTCAGTGAACAGCAGCAGCAACTATAAAAAAATTATATTTTCTCTCCCCCTCATCTGACTGTACACTATTCTCTCTTCATTTCTACTTTATTTTTATTTTTTTGGATTGTTATTATTCAGACAAAGGTCTCGTTAATTTATGATGCTGTATTCGTGTTTGCAATTGGCTTACAAACACTCCAACATTCATCTAAGATTGCTTTATCAAACGTCAATGTCAGTTGCAAGGATGAAAAGGCACTACATCTTGGTTCTAGCCTCATTAATTTTATTAATACGGTTTGTATTTTATTGCTTTATTACTTTACTCACACTCCTTTTTTTCTCGTCTTTTGCCACCATGCAAATCTTTAGTGGTGAATATTTACTTTTGGCTTTTATGTCAAGGCAATGAAACTGCTTCTTTTTGACAGATGAAAATATAAATTGATTAGAAAATATATTGGAACTCACGAAAATATTTTATGATTTGTAAGCATGGCATCTTGACAGGCGCGTAACCATGAGGGTCTAGTCCCCACTTAAACGTTTTGAACCGCAGCGAAAGCACGGCCTAAAACGCTTAAGAGGGGGACAATACCCTTCTGGCTACGCGCCTGGATCAAGAGTATAAAGATCGAAAGTAGCATAGCAAGAGTTGGGTTGGAAAAGAATTGTTTTTAGAAAAATTCTTAAACTCAAATGTTTGAATTGATACGTTCTTAAAGAACTCCAGCATCCTCAATAGAAAACCTCAAATTTAGATGAATGTTCAAAATAATTAAGTATGAATCGAATATTTTTAACATAGATTCTCAATTCCTTTTGATAATGACAAAAGAACAGTTCAATAAATGACCAGAAGAGCTCAGACGCCTGGATTATTTTGTATTTTTCCTTACTTCGCTATATATGGAGAGTATAAATTTTATATTGTAGTGAAATATTCACTAACTTTAGATAATATGTATAGCTATTCAAATTAATCATATAAAAAAGCAGAAGATGAAAAAAGGGACATGCATCATCAATTTTCTTCTTCTTTTTCCATTCTTGCTCTTTTTTTATTACTTCTCTCGTTTTTCCCATGTCATTGTACTTATTTATTTTTCCTACTTCCATTTCTTTTCTTTACTGTTAATGCTATTTGCCATTCGGAAATCATATACACACATACACAAAAAAAAAATATTTATGATGAACGAGCAGGTCGAATTTAAAGGAATTTCAGGACAAATCGAATTTAAAGAAGGACAAAGGAATACTTTTAAATTAGATGTAATGAAATTGAAGCAGAATTTTTTCGTAAAATGTGGGGAATGGAGTCAGTCAACTGGATTAAATATTACAGACTATGAAGTTTTATTCGAGGGAAATCAAATGAATACCACATTGGTCGTTGTGACAATATTGCAAGTGCCATACGTTATGCTTCACGATTCCAAAAATGTCACTGGAAATGCTCGTTTTTATGGATTTTGTGTTGATTTATTGGAAAAAATAAGCAAACAAATCGGATTTAATTATATTTTGGATCTCGTTCACGACAGAAAGGTAAAAAACTTTTTTTTCCCACAAGTTTTTTTTGTCGTCCGTCCCACACTGTCTATTCATGTTCATGCTTGTAAATGAAATGTTTTTGTAAATCGTAAGCAAAATTACATCCACATAGTGTTAGGGATGGAAAAAATATTTATATTAAAATTATTACAATCTAATTTTCTTTATTGAAAAGTATGGCGCTAAGGATGCAAATGGAGAATGGAATGGTAAAAAAAATTTAATTGTGTTCTCGACAAAAAAAAATCTGTAAAAAAATCTTTTCTCTTCTATTTTTTTTATGCTGCTTCTTCTTCTTTTTTTTCGATGCTGCAAATGAATATAAATTTTCTCATTATCATTTTCGTTTGCTACTTTTGCTATTCTGGCTGTTATTACCGGTCCTCTGATATTGCTCATGGCGGTTGGCCTACATTTACAATATTAGGGATGGTTGGAGTACTTATGAAGCACGTAAGAATTTTTTTATTGCATTGCATTTTATTTTCTTCAATTTTATGTCAATTGAATTAAATGTTGGACGAGCATCAATATTCTAAGAGAAAATATTTGGTTTGTTCCAAGTAATATAGCAATTGGTTCAAGACAGTCGTAAATAGATTCATTTTTGAGAGTATTATAAAAGACACAAGTAATGGTGTGCATTTTTGTGAAAAATTTTCGTCTTCTGAATTCGTTAACATTATTAACACAGGAGGATTTTTTAGGACATTCTCAATTCTGCTTCTGAGAATTGATCCAAGAATTCACAAGACCAAAAATAAGTTCATTGAATGGATTATTCTTGGAAATCAGCAGTATATATGTAATAAATTCTGTCGAAATCATTCAGTAAAATACATTGGAGCTACTTACTGATTTAATATTGGAATAGACCCTTGAGCTTATTATTACTACACATTTTGGTCAATGAAATGTTTAAAGCTGGGATGTGAAATTTGGGGTTAGTTCCTTCATAACATTTTTTATCACCTTTATATGGTTTGCTGAATTTAATTCCATAAATTGTGATGATTTTCATCAAATTGGAACTCTTAGACGCTCTCCCCTTAAAATGTACAAATGTCATTCAGATTCTTACTTCCTAATCTTCTGTCTAAAAAAGCTACAATCTTCCAAATCTCTCAAAATCTAAGTAAATACAAGTTGAAGCTATTATTGATCCCTTTACTGATTTTCCAAGAAAATTTATATTTCCTTCTAGAGTAAAGTCATAAAAAATTGATAATATAATTACGTTGGGACTGTGATCAATTAATGAGCTTCATTTTCCTCATCATAAACTCATTATTTTCACGAGAAAATACTTTCTCGTCTTAATTCTCAATTAATTCTTTATTCTTAATATAAAAGATTATTTCCTCATCTGGCAAATAAATGTTTGATTTATTATTTACAGAAAGCTGATTTGGCTGTTGCATCAATGACCATTAACTACGCCAGGTAATTCAAGACACTCATCGTATTTACATTTAGAATCAAACTTGTTTACTCTCCTTATTTATTATTTGTTGGTATCTTATTCATGAATTACGACTTTATCATTTTATCTCTTGATACATTTACTCAACATTTAGATGTTATTAAGTAAATCAATTCCATTCACATTTTCTTATTGCTCCTTTTATTGCCTCTGATGATGATGTTACTTTATTTTATTTCATCTCCTTCATTTTTTTTTTCTCCTTCGTACAGGGAAAGTGTTATCGATTTTTCCAAGCCCTTCATGA